GAAGAAAATGATACTTTGAAAATTCAGCAATGGCACTTGGGGGCACAGTTGAGGATACAAATGAATATAAAGATGATGACAAATCCCCACAACTTGGGATATAAACCCTATATATATATATGTTATACACACAAATATTATCCGCAGCTCCGGAAAGATCCTGAGCCCCGCTCTCTCCGCCACTCGCCCAGCAGAGGGTGGCCGCTGCCTTAGGCACAACATATCATGACGGCCACCACCAAAGTTAGAAGTCCTGTGAAGCGTAGCATCCCTAATTACATGAGTCCCTTTTTTGTTTAGGAAACCATTGGTATTACCATAGTAGATTCTTATATCTGACTATAATAGGTTATTCATCGTTATTCATTATTCATGAAACATCATGAAGCTCCAATCTGAATCATCTTGAAAGTTCGCTTCCATCATTAATGAAGGGACGCGAGATTTCAGCAATCATTCTCAACTCTGTGTTCCCGCCGAACACTTGGATTGCCCTCAACTGAAGATCAATCATCCGCAAACCTAGCATATCTGCAAATAACACTAAAACGTTGCTATCTCAGCTCATTTGCATACTCATTTCCGAGCTGTATTTTTCATTAATTTTCCATTAAATCATAGCCCAGAATTGACCAATGAAAGCTTCCTGAGGAAGCTGATCCGGTCCACCACCATATGGCTTTGTCTGAAAATAGGCTCCCCCCAAATCGACTTAGTTTTGAATTGCCATACATTGGGGGTACACATGGGTACACCCTTTGCCAGGCAGAACCACATCCACTAAATATATATTCTCGGCTTAAATATTGTTATATCATGCTATATCACCATTCTTCATTGTGAAATCCTCATAATAATGTTGCTGGTTACACTGTTGAACCACGATTTAATGAACAAAACCATCAAACAATGCAAAATGAATGAACATCCACTTCTTCATTTAACCACAGTTACAGGGAAGCGACAATGTCACGCCTAAGTCATGCCTAGCATGTTTTTGAATGGCATTTACCATTGTAAACGCTGTATCCAAGAAGTCATGCCTAAGTCATGCCTAAATGCTTTTCTGCATGGAACGCTGTCCCCAATAAACGTGTAACTATGCATTTTAGACATGAAAAGCAAATGAAACACAATGGAACGCGATGGATGAAAATATTGATTTTCTACTCTCTTATAATGTCATTCTCGTGTGCAACCTGCATGTCAAAGCTGGGATTCTGCATCAATGTTTTTCTATTCTCTGGGTCACTTCCCAGTACTACTTTGCACTACAATGCTTGCGCAAAGCACTTCATACTTTGTACTACAAAGCTCGCACAAAGCACTTCCCAGTACTACTTTGTATTACAAAGCTTGCACAAAGCACTTCCCAGTACTACTTTGTACTACAAAGCTTGCACAAAGCACTTCCCAGTACTACTGTGTACTACAAAGCTTGCACAAACTACTTCCCAGTACTACTTTGTACTACAAAGCTTGCACAAAGCACTTCCCAGTACTACTTTGTACCACAAAGCTTGCACAAAGTCGTTCCCAGTACTACTCTGTATTACACAGCTTGCACAAAGCACTTCCCAGTACTACTGTGTACTACAAAGCTTGCACAAAGCACTTCCCAGTACTACTTTGTACTACAAAGCTTGCACAAAGCATTTCCCAGTACTACTTTGTACTACAAAGCTTGCACAAAGCACGTCCCAGTACTACTCTGTACTACAAAGATTGCACAAAGCACTTCCAGCACTACTTTGGACTACAAAGCTTGCACAAAGCACTTCCCAGTACTACTTTGTACTACAAAGCTTGCATAAAGTACTTCCCAGTACTACTTTGTACTACAAAGCTTGCACAAAGCACGTTTTCCCAGTACTACTTTGTACTACAAAGCTACTTGCAAGCTTGCACAAAGTCGTTCCCAGTACTACTTTGTACTACAAAGCTTGCACAAAGCACTTCCCAGTACTACTTTACGTACTACACAGCTTGCACAAACTACTTCCCAGCACTACTTTGTACTACAAAGCTTGCACAAAGCACTTCCCAGTACTACTTTGCACTACAAAGCTTGCACAAAGCACTTCCCAGAGCTACTTTGTACTACCAAGCTTGCACAAAGCACATCCCAGTACTACTTTGTACTACAAAGCTTGCACAAAGTCCTTCCCAGTACTGCTTTGTACTACAAAGCTTGCACAAAGCACTTCCCAGTACTACTTTGTACTACAAAGCTTGCACAAAGACTTCCCAGTATTACTCTTTACTACAAAGCTTGCACAAAGTCCTTCCCAGTACTACTTTGTACTACAAAGCTTGCACAAACTACTTCCCAGTACTACTTTGTACTACAAAGCTTGCACAAAACACTTCCCAGTACTACTTTGTACTACAAAGCTTGCACAAAGCACTTCCCAGTACTACTTTGTACTGCAAAGCTTGCACAAAGCACTTCCCAGTACTACTTTTTACTGCAAAGCTTGCACAAAGTCGTTCCCAGTACTACTTTGTATTACAAAGCTTGCACAAAATACTTCCCAGTACTACTTTGTACCACAAAGCTTGCACAAAGCACTTCCCAGTACTACTTTGTACTACAAAGCTTGCACAAAGCACTTCCCAGTACTACTTTGTACTACAAAGCTTGCACAAAGCACTACTGTGTACCACAAAGCTTGCACAAAGCACATCCCAGTACTACTTTGTACTACAAAGCTTGCACAAAGCACTTCCCAGTACTACTTTGTACTACAAAGCTTGCACAAAGCACTTCCCAGTACTATTTTGTACTACAAAGCTTGCACAAAGCACTTCCCAGAGCTACTTTGTACCACAAAGCTTGCACAAAGCACTTCCCAGTACTACTTTGTACTACAAAGCTTGCACAAAGCACTTCCCAGTACTACTTTGTACTACAAAGCTTGCACAAACTACTTCCCAGTACTACTTTGTGCTACAAACTGACATGACAACCCGCTTGGAAACCTTCGAAAAGGAGAGGTTTTGCAGCTTCCCCCATAGACACGGCGATGCCACAGGAAAACCAGAGATTCGATACGAGATACGTGGGCGCAGCAAAACGAGCATTTCGTGCGAGACTTCCTCCAATTTTGATATTTTCCACACGTTATCAAACAGGTTGGAATGTGACAAAGTGCCACGCCTGCCACGCAAAACGACATGACAACCTACCTGGAAACCTTCGAAAAGGAGAGGTTTTGCAGCTTCCCCCATAGACACGGAATTAACGACGCGACGACGCGACGCCGACCTGACGACGACGCGACGCCGACCCGACGACGACGCGACGAGCCACTCGAGGCGAACAAACCCTTCGCTACGCATTCGGGAAAAACAGGATAATCTGGGATGAACATCCAGAATCATCAAATCACCAGCTCAACGCCATCTTACCTATAACTAATCAACATACCCAAAACCTGGAATTCTGCATGCTAATAGTGATCAGCTACGTGATCTCATAAGAAAACAGGTTACATATCCAAACTCCAGAGTTCCTATGCGTTCTTGCTAAAGGCACGACTTTTGCGAACCACACTTCCCCAAGGCACAACGATTTTTTCCTAAAACAGGTACGACTTTGTCAGATGCCTGTACTGATGGTGATGTTCAGCTGTTGACGTGAAAAAACCTGGTAAACTAAGAGTTTGTTATGGAAAATCACCATTTCTTTCATAGCTACAGCAACTATCTGGTTGGTGGTTTGAACCTGAAAAATATTGGTCAGTTGGGGTTATTATGGCTTATTATTCCCAATATATGGAAAAATAAAAAATGTTCCAAACCACCAACCAGCTATAAATGGACAGGTGAACCACCCAGGTGTTCAGCTCTGAGTTGGCTCGGTGCCCGGCGCTGCCGCTCGAGGTCCAAAGTCCGGCTTCGGCCTTGAGGCTCAGCTGGGGAGCAAAACTGACTTCCGAAGAAATTTTCGGATGAAATGCCGGTCAAAAAACGGACCAAAACCCTGGTTTCACATCTGAAAAGCCAGGTTTTTTCATATGGGTTCAAAATCAAAACTGTTCGTGATAAATGTTCATCCTCTCAAAATGTATAATGTATGGGAAGAAATATTGGTTTTCCCTTGAAATCACTGGAGCTCGGCCCGGGCCGCAGACAGCGCCGCCGGGCGGCTGTTGATCCGAGGTCTCCCAAGGACCTGCCAGCGATGTCACATCTGACCATGACCTGCATGGGGAACTGGGGTATAACTTTAATACTTGAATAATTCAGTATCTCCCCTCTGGTAAACTAACATAACTATGAAAAATCACCATTTTTAATGGGAAAACTCACTATAAATGGCAATTTTCAATAGCTATGTTAAATTACCAGAGGGTACATGAATTTATCATAATTTATCATTGGGCTTGTATGGACTTGTCACACTACATGGGCTATCTGCATGGCAACCGTTCTCAAAGGTAGAATGATTAGAACACGTATGGATTCCTTAAAACCTATAGCATCCTCCAGCTAAACCCAAGTGACTTTCACCGCCATTTTGTGTGTTGGGAGCTTTGGATGATTCGGATGCTACATGTGAGTAAGCAGTAATTGCTCTATAAATCTATACACTTTAATCATCGCATGGCCTGGGCACGCTCCCCAAATGGCACTTGTAATAGGACAATGAGATAAAATTAGAATGATGCATCACCATTGCCCAATGGAATATAATGGATGTTGGGTTGCAGTATCCAATTTTCACATATTTTCAGGCAAACCCATACATTCAAGTTGCTCAGTTTCCTTCCAGGCTCTTTTTACACTCGGCATGCGCCGGTGGTTTCATTGCCAAACTGGACGGCTGGGTGCGACTTTGGCACGGCCCGGCTGTACACTGTACATCATCTGGGTTTGCTCCAACATATGGAGGCACCAAATCCCGTGCTGTTCAGTAGAAACACGGCCACACGCAACTCCACCAGGCATTGTCATCATATTTGCTTAGCTTCAATCCATGACATGACTCAAATGTAGGCAAACACCAAAAATGGAGCAGCCTGGTAGGAGAACGAGCCTCCAAACTCGGAACGGTCAACCATCCAACGAGGATTTTTAGGAGATCTGCCCCTATCCCGACCTAAAATCTCAAACGCTGGCCCTTTACAACTTCACTTCTTCTTGCCGCCTTTGTCATTGTCCTCCTGCCCAATATGTAAAAACACTAGCCCAAAAACATGCCACACTCCAGGTGAAGAAACCAGCCACCCTGTTCACATCAACTTAGCTGGTCGTGATGCCAACCAACCGGTCCTTGCGGTGGCAGCACACCACCTTTCCCAACATCATGACCTGCTGTGGCACTGGATGTCACCCCGGGTGATCCAATCAACCCGCCAACAACCGGGCCAAGCGGGCTAACCTTCATCATCCCCTATGTATACTAGTATAATATAATATAATATAATATAATTTTTAATACATGTGTATATATATATATCATCCCGCAGTCGGGGCTCATGATTCCAGGTCGGGCTCATGATTCCAGCCTTTTTAAGGATGGAAATAATCAGTTCCGGTAACTAGAATTACCCATATTTGACCAATGAAAATGACTGCTGTACCGAAATGCTTTGGAACATTGAGCGTAATTTCATATGGCTATGGCTATAGTTTCTCGTATACTCTGACATGTTGGTATCTCTAATATAGATATTCCAGGGAACAACCCAAACATATGCCTGAAGAAGCAGCCATTAGCAAATTAGATCATCATAGCGCTAATGAATACAAATCTGTCCAAAGAATACAACTTGACCAAAAAGGCAACATACTTACTAACATTTATACAGTAATTACAACAGTGTAAGTTGTGTGTATATGACATGCAACACTTTCCATGAATACGACCACCCCCGCAGAAACACCTCCCTCTCTCTCTCTCTGCTCATTTTTGGGGCCCACATGGCGGGGATTCAGTATGAGGCCAATGGGATTGTACCATTCAATGAATTTACTTGGTAAATCCCGATAGAAAACAGGTCATAGATGTTTTTCATGGTTAAATAAGTTATATAAATTGCTTGAATCTCCATTAAAGTCATCATTTAAATTGTAATCCCACTTTTATCCATAGTTATCCTCTGATAATTTAACATAGCTATGGAAAATCACCATTTTTCATGGGTAAATCCACTATTAATGGCCATTTTCAATAGCTACGTTAAATTACCAGAGGGTACAGTAAATCCCACTGATTTTACGGTAACTTTTGCTCCTCCACACCCAACAAAAGCCACCTGGTGGTGCTCCACGAAGAGAATCCGCGCCAACTTGCTGCAGGAACCAAAGCTATCCTTGACTCAGCCGGCTTCCCGCTTGCGGATAAAACAACATATAGGGAAAGCTAGAAGTATTTGGATATGTTTGGATATGTTTAGGTCTGTTTAAGTCTGTTTATCCACCTGTGGTTTTTCATCGAAATCTGTTCTCACTGATCATAATGAATGCCTCTTAGCACCAAAATATTGAGAAAAATCCGCGGTAGACCATAGCTTCTCTACCCAACGGAAAGATTTCCGGCACGCTTCCCCCCAAGATGATTTGGGATTATTCTTTTGTGCGACAGCACAGTAAATTCGTCACCAAACGAATTTAGGATCTGAGAAAAAATTGGGGATCTTGACGGAGATCTGTTGTTTGTCTTAACCACCAAACATTTTTGGTTTTTGTTAGAATATATCATAACCCATAGGATCCATGTATGCTATATATGGTAACATTTACCATCAATATACTCCGAATGTTAGCATATATACCATACATGGATCCTATGGGTAATAATATCAGAGGGTTTCCTCTTACGGGACAGATATCAGAAACCCGCGGGTTTCGACCTAAATGCCTAACATTATGGATTCCTTCGGTGGTCTTTAATGCTGCCAATTTGTTCTTTGCCACAGTTCCTCAATAAACCTTATTATTGGTGGCTAAGCCACCAGGCCTAGATCAACAGCCATCACAAATTGTGTGCGTGTGCGCATATATGGGCACACCATGCATCTATATATATATATAAATATGAAGCACACCTGACCAAGGTAAGAACATACTTCAACCTCCAGCATCTTCACGCAATCAAGGGGCACATAAGAAAGGTTTCAGCGGTTGAAAGGTACACAGCGCCATGTCGTTTGGTCTGAGCTTTTGTGGACCTCAGCATCACCGGGTCCATGACTTCCAGGCGGCATCAGGCTGGTGCATCTCAAAAATGTGTAAAAATGTCCCATCTCTTCAAGAAAACATAAGAAAACCATGAAATAATGGAATTGGACACCATTTTTCTGCCCCCAAGTGTTGCTGAGTGCATCCTCATTTCTTTGGAGATGTTTGGAGCATGTTGAAGTGGTTTCTCGCAATGACAGCCATAGCCATGTGAAACCCAGCCGCCTTCCACCTTTCGGCCGCCAGTTTCTTTGCTGATTTTCCACTTGATGTCCAGAAGTCGCACGGGAGCACGGCCGGTGCACCTCAACACATTTCCAGGCCGAAGTATTGCTGGGTGTCCGACATGGTGTCCAACAAATATTCCTTTTTTTGCATCCCTGTTGTCCCTGGAAAAAACACCTCTGGGAGATACACCATTGCAATGGCTTACACCGCGCGTACGTTTTTACAGAGAGAAGATCAGATTCAAGTCTTCCCTGGTGCCATGGCGATCTGGGCGTAGCATTGGTGAACCTTCCAGAACCCCGTCATAAAAGGCCCCAGTTGGGGGACCCATGACCACCATGAGCACTTGCACCAGCGACGATTAACCTCAGATCAACCTCAAATCATTCATCAAATATACCAGCCTTGGCCCATCATGAATTTATAGCTGATGCAATATGCGGTTGCAAGTAAAAAGTGGATGGATAGCATTGATCCTCTGTTGTTTTCTCGTTCCGTCAACAACCCCAGGTCTATCGCCATCAAATGTTCTGATTATGAATACCGTCCCCCCAAGTCAGCGGTTGTGTGGCCAAGCCAACATAACCACCCCCAATATCACCAAACACAAATAGTACAGTATTAACATTCAACATGTGTATACTATAGAAACAAATATGATGTGTACCTATATCTGTGTGTTTGCATAAACCCTCCAATTTATTGGAGGTTTAGGGAGTGTACCGGAGTACCACATTAAATACCCTCTGGTAAACTAACATAACTATGGAAAATAACCATCCTTAATAGGCAAATCAACTATAAATGGGCAATTTTCTATAGCTATGTTAAATGACCAGAGGGTATCTTTCAATACCGATTCTTGCCTTTGCAATTACTTGTATCAACCCATTTCGGAGAATCTCTTGGCCGTCTTGGCCAAGCTGGAGCCATACCATGCTATATCCTGATTTGTCCAGGATCTCCGGGCGTGACTTAGCCACCCACCAGCGCGTATAGCAAGACCCAAACCAATAAAAAAAAAAACAGCTCCTACCAAACCAATGACAAATCTCAACAATAAACCACATCACTAGTACAAAATGTCTACCTTTTTTGGGGGTCACTATAACATGTTCAACCACTCCTTGGTTCACAAAATCCGAGGCACACGCACGCCAAGGCTACGTGCCCAAGTTTCATATCCTTGGCGCGGCCCGCAATATTCAGAGCAACCATACACTGATGGGTAAATCTATTGATGGGTAAATCTAACATATCTATATACTATATATTGAAAATGGATGAAAATTGCACAGTTATAGTTGATGTACCTACTAAGATGGTGATTTTCCATAGTTGACCAGAGGGTACCCATTTTCAGGGATACAGCATGATGCAAGAATCATCGGCACTTCAAAAAAAGAACACGCTAGTTTGGATCTAGCTAAGTACCCAAGTTGGCTCCAGGTTTCTCATCCTGATTTCTGGTTGATTAATGTGATTACCCTCAGGTGTTTTTTCGAACATGGCTTGCCGGAAAGAAAATCCCCCATTTAGTCTGATGATTGTCCCATGAAAACTATACTTCCATTGAGTTCAGGGATTTGAGTTTCCTCAGCCACCTTTGACTACCGGAGGGTCATGGGAAAATTTGCCGTTTGAAAAGTCGACTCAGCTGCCGTCCAGGTCTCTGATGGACTAAACAGCAGCACCACCTGTGCCTCAAAGGAGCGAAGTTCTCCATAGCGCTCCTCTTCTTCCAACAACCTCGATAAGGGAAGGTCGGGAGTGTACCCAATAAATATGGGATGGTTTGAAGCCAACAAATGGTTGGAATTTAATGGATTTGTTTACCAGGATTGAATCACCAAATTTTGATGATCGATGGATTGGTCTCAGGGAAAATCTAAACTGGAAACCCAGAACCAGGCCGGAAGGCCCCAACTTGTTCTGGTAGTCATTCCAGCTTCATTTTGGGTATCATGATGGGCTACGAAATACAAATGGGGTACCATGTGATTGGAGCATGTTATAACTGAAGAAAACTGGGGACAACTAGGAATATTCTGGGATTTCAACCTATCAGTGCTAGGGCACCGTAATAGTTATAATTCGTAATTTCAAGTCAAAATCAGAAGCCCGGGGAACCATTAGAATCGAAAAGTCTCCCGTTATTGGGGCACCGATTTTTGACCAATACATTCTTGACACTTCAAGTTAGATGAATACAAAACATTCTCCAATGTGCGGGTCAATGGATACCCCTTGGGCCCCAAGGGTCTGAAACAAACAAAGTGTTTAGGTTCTTAATATCAGCACTTTCGAATATGCGTGGATTAACCCGCGTGCCTACTATGAAACTACATGCATATTGTCACTGAATTGAAACTGTATCTGCTTCAGCATCTAACAATAGCATTCCAGGATGCACACACCAATAGTTGACCAGTTTTTTTTGGTGCACCATTTCCTATGTTTTTTTTGTGACTAGTTACGGTCCGTTACGGTTACGAAGCCCTATTGCCATGGTGTTGAGCCAACGGGCAACTCTGCTCGAATCTCGACGGGGCACATCAAGGCTTGCCCTCGTTGGGGCGCCGGATAACCAAAAATACCGTCCAGGCTCCTGGTGACCAGAAATCACACATCTTAGGATCACTGAAGAACGCCAGTTGCAGTTTACATACTCCCACAGGAGCCCCAAATTCTAGAAGAATTCATGTGAATTATATAGAAAACTAGGCAAAACATGGTAAAACATGATGAAGAAACCACCAGCCAGGCTCAGAATATCGCCAGCATTTGCTTCATCCATCCACTGGCCGTAGATGTGTATGCTCCCCACTCGAGCACTTTTTGTGGAATAGGGCTGCCTTGGCAGAACCACTGTCCGCTCGTCCTGTCCGGCGGTGCAACTAGGATGGGATATGGGCCGGAAATGGGGTAGAAGACCCCAAGTTATTGCTGTTTTTTAATTGTTTTGAAAATTTGCCAAAATTCGCCGCGAAAAAAAAAACTATATATAAATTATATATATACATTTATTTACATTATCAATATAATACTATTTGCCAGTCAAATGCCCGCCAATGGCGGAAAGAGTCAATTGGGAACATGATTTTCTAAACTTCAAAACCATAGGGGTTTCCGAATGTCCAGAGCCAAGGCGGCAAAAAAAACATGTTCACTTCCCCTTGGAGGAACTAACTGCAGCAACCACGGGATTGCCCCTCAAACAGCGATCGAATAAATTTCCCCAAGCAATGGATAATTTTGGATTGATAATGAATGTATGCTATAAGTACCTGGTGCGGTGTTAATCGTATTCAAAACTCTCCTGAAATTTTTCAGTACATCCTGGATCAAAATCATACGACCCTTGTCCTTTACCTTCCAATGCCGCAAAGTGCCTTGCTCCACACGACCCACCAAGCACCTGTAGACTGGCACCACATGCAGCACCGTCATCAGAAGAGGCGCATTGATACAACGCATAGGTGGGGCAAAAATTGCATCCAGCACGTCGTAGAGGCAGTGAATGTGGACAAGCGCACTGCCTGAACTGCTGAACCTCTCCCAAAAGCTTGGAAGTGTGAGAAATCGCGTGCAAAAGAAGAAGCACGCTGCAATGTATATTCGTATAGTATGTGTCCCACACAAATGCAAAATAGATAAGCAATGATAATATATTCTATAAATATCAATATTTACATACACACATATGCAATCTACGATTTTACTCATTTGTATCTATGTATCTAGCTAGCTAGCTATTTATCTATGTTTCTATCTATCATCTATCTACATCTATCTATCCATTTAATGGCTTTTTCAGGTACCAAAATTGGAGGTACCTACCATATAAAAGGTCCACGTAAGGCCTATGTAAGGGGATATACCCCACATATATGGCTCGACTCTACATGGTACAGTACCTCCAGTTTAGGTACCTTAAATGCCCAGTGATCTATCTATCTATCTATCTATCTGCCTATCTATGAATCTATCTATCTCCCTGTGTAATGCTAATATTGCAGCTGCATCTTTGTATCAGTGCCCATTTGCATTATAGGAAAGATTATGACAGATTATAGACACACAGTCTGTCACAAAGCCGAACAGCATTGATTGACACTCACATAGCATATCTACACTTTCCCTTACCTAAGACACTTAAATAGACACAGTAGGGCAGCCACAGTTGATGAATTTTCAGAGCAAGTTTGAGGCGAATCCGAGCCGCCACGAGCTTCTGGAAGTTGAACATCCTGTCCCGTCCACCACGGGAAGTAGTCCGATCTCGAGGTGATGTTGAAATTTCTATGACCTGCTTCCGGGACAAAGGCAACATTCTGCTCCTCAGCTGCCCGGTTGCACTGACCCACGGTCATTCACAATAACATCCAAGCGGTCCAAACCATGTGCACAGTCAGTCCCTAGGTGGATAAGCATATTATAATCAGGAGCCAAGCTCCAGGACCTCCTTATGCATGTTTTAACCAATTTAACCTTCTGCCCCTTTCACCCATCTTTCTGCACGACGTAATTTGGGATGATTTGGGGAGAGTTCTCCTTACGAAGCATCATCGACAGTCACGTCGCTGTGAGGCTGTGAGGTTATTGGCGAAACATAAAAAAGATAAAAAAGACCAGTTCGTCAGTTCATCCTATGACATTGGCAATACCATACCCTCTGGTTATTTAACATAGCCATGGGAAATGGCCCATTTATAGATGGTTTACCTATTAAAAATGATGATTTTCCATGGCTATGTTAAATAACCAGAAGGTAACCAAAAAATAAGTTCATCAGTTCATCCCACAGCGTCCAAAAAGTCGCTCTTCCAGCCACTCTTCCGGAGGCTTCGCTTGGTCTCTTGAACGACCTCCCTGAAGCGTGCAGGCTGCTCAGCAGGGGCCAGCCCATCCAGCCTTCCAGCCGGGAGGAACCAATGGATTGCCGGGTTGGTTTAAGGGACAATTTATATCAATCAATAAGAAACCATAAGAAACCCCAGTAGTTCACGGTTTTGCCATGGTCATAGATTCATAGATTGTCACCAGCATATCATCATTATCCCACAATGGTGTGGTTTAAGGGATGTTTCTTGCAGGAAACCTTCTATAGCTTCTTGCACACAAAACAAGTTAAACATTGTAAGAACATGTAAGAACTGTCCTCAACCAAGTCTGGCAGAACAATCAACACAAATCCAGGTAGAAGCAAGAATTGGCGGGTGAATTATGTGAAAGTCAGTAAAGTGGTTATTTTACGTGGTTCATCTTGGTTCATCCCCTAAATGAAAGGGATTGCATTGAACCCCGTCATCTATTTTTTAAAGAAAGAACATCATTACCCCACGTGTCATTTAGCATCGGATCTGAAATCAATGGCAATGGGAAAATCCAACTTACTCATCCCTTGGCCTATCGAGAGCATCCCAGAAGTGGAGGTGATCCGTCAGGGGTTCGCACTAGAATCGACACTGCCAACGGAAGTTATGCGTTTCCATAGTTTCTTCGCATCTTTATCAGTCAGAATTCAGGTGATCCAAAAAGGTCGTGCCAAAAAACTCGGTTATCCATGCTTATCCCATGACTGGGGGGCCCCAACCCCCCCAACCACAACCACAAGCAGCGGCGCAGCGGGCTGATCCGTACCACGTCACTTGGTCACGACGATGCAAAGCTGTGTCACCCCAAAGGTATGAAGCACCCGCGCGTGTTGACGAGAGCCGCCTAGACCCAGCGAGATACTGTACTAGTAGGGGCAATCGCAACGATACGCCACAAGCAGAGACAAACAATGAAACGTGTTTGTGGGGTGTGAATATATATATATATATATACATATTATAGGATGGATTGATAGCTGGATAGCTAGATAGCTTGATATGTAGAACCAAGATAGCTAGATAGCTAGACTGCTAGATAGATGGATCACTGGATAGGTATATAGACTAGTATATCTGTGTAGATTTGAATGTCAAATATATGTATGTATTTATAGACTGATAGATAGGATTGAAAGTTCCAAAACTAAGCTATATGCGGCATATATGCGGCTATTTTCACATGGCAGTCACATTAAACAGATCGTTCCTTCTCATGAATCTACAGTACCAATCATCCCTCTCCTTGCGCCTTCAGGTACGCCTCCTCCCGCGCTGCACAGGGACCAAGCGAATGTGTCATCTGCGGGAACCAACAGCAAGGCTGCATCTGCCAGAGACGCTCCAGCGATCATGTTGGTGATGTAGCGTTGGTGCCCTGGGACGTCTATGAGCCTGCACTTAGAAGATCCAAACAAGGGCCTAAGGGGTATTTGGCCATGTTGATAGGGAAAATAAGGGAACATGATCATCCAAGACAATGGAATGGAACGCTGTTTCCCCAAACAATAAGCCAAACTCAGATGGTGATGCTGTTCTTTCAACCTTTTCTGACACATTTCCTGAGGCCTAGGCTATAGAACAACTTGCGAAAAGGGCGACTGACCTGGACCTATAAGCTGCTGAAGATGTATAGCACCGAGGTGCGTGTATCTCCAGTGCTCTGTGACGAATTCCTTCATCTTACCTCGGAGCCACTACATGACCTCCCCAGATTGAAGAATCGTGAGTCCAAGGTGGCTGGCAAGGGTGTCAGTCGTTCAACAACTTAGCTCAACAGGGTTCAGCAGGTTCAGCCCCATGTTGACCACCGGCTGAAGCGTGTCAATGTCTATATACAATCTAAAGCTATTCCCCAGCTCGCGCATGCATCATCAAGACTGTGATACAGGGAAAAGATTTGGTCTTTAAATCGTCAGCCCGCCCAAAAATAAGGCCAAATAGCCAAATAGCCAAACACAACTTCCCAGAAATTTGACCTGGCAGATCCTCGAAAGGTCAACATGTACAAGATTCGCCCAGGACCCGGGCTTCTGTAACCTTCACCAACGACAAGCAGAAGTTCAATCAATGGGAATTCCAGGATCCCAAAATAGAGGTACTGTACCATATAAGGCCATATTTTGGGGGGATACCCCCTTACATAGCCCTTATATAGGCCTTATATATGGTAGGTACCTCCAATTTAAATCCAATTTAGGATCCTGGAATGGCCATTGATTCAACGCAGGACGAGGCGCAAATCACGGTACGGCCCATCTCTCGCTCCTCCGGCCGGGTGTCCAGGAAGATCTGAACATCTGCGGCTCCCTCAACACGTCGCGGTGGGGTAAGGAGACCACGTCGCACTGGAGGCCTTGTAGGGCCAGGGCATCGCACGACACACATGAGATTTTCTTTGCATAACTCGAATTATGCTTCAATAGGCATATCAATGATTCCTCCATTCAGGGCAAATGCTTTCCAAACTTCCCATTCGAACCCAACCTGACAAAGGTTAAAACCAGCAAAAAGTCATCCATCCATAGATCTCCGCCTTAAGGAATTCAGCAGCTGTGCCCCAATGGTGCTTTTGCCAGAACCCACATGCCCACAAATTGCCACAGAGAGGTGTGGTCGTTCCTCTAGCGACATAGCGCTGGACAGCTAACTCCATAGCGCTGAAGTGGTGATGCACGACTCATGAAAGGAATACAGAATCTATACAAAGGAAAACACCCTTCCAAGTCTGACCGTAACTCCGCTTCCATGAACTCATGAATAGTTCACAACTGGTGGTGGATGATGGGAGAACTACGAACCGGATTAAGCTGCCATGAGCAGTAGCATGAACATGCATGAACTTCTGATACCATTGGATACCACTCAGTGGGGAAAGGACAAAGAGCCTCTGAAGCCTCTGATGGATCCGGAAACTTCGGCTTTCCCCGGCAGCAAAATTCACATCAATCCACAGCTCTTTGCTAGCAACAAGGGGACGGGATTCCTGAAGCACTTCTATTTCTCTTTCAGAAACTTAAGTCATGTTCAGTCCTAGTGCTTGGTTGCCAGCACCATTTTGGGATTCAAAATGTTCAACATCGCGTGTGTGGCCTTAATCGGTCTCTAGATTACAGTACATAATTCTACCTTTCCCTGGTGTAAATCTGCATAATTACCCTCTGGTAAACTCACATGGCTATTGAAAATCTCTATTTAGTCCAGTGATGTACATGTGATGTAATTCCGGTTAAAAATGGTGTTTCCATAGTTACCCTCTGGTAAACTAACATAGCGAACTTGAAAATCACTAAATCAATTATTTCTATGGGCCATGTTCAATATGTAACAAATTACCAGACGCTAACATCCCATTAATTCATTCCCATTAAACCCGTCATGAAATGAAATCGCCATTGAATCACCATTTATGGATGATTTACAGATGATTTACCAGATTGTTGGCTAGTTACAGTATATATATACCATTATTATCCCCAGTATATATCCCAATGATTATCCCACATGTTATCCCATTATAACCACCATTAAATCACCATTTATTTTTGGTTTGATTATCTCATTTTAGCCCATTAAACCACCATTAAATCACCATTTATAGATGATTTATGACGATTTTGCCATGATTATCCCATGATTTTGCCATGATTCTGCCATGTTAAATGGTGGCTTCCCTGGAAGATCTTCAGCCCATGGCCACCATGGCTGAACCCCTGCGCTGGGCTCAAGCCACGCGCGGAGCTTCCGTGGGAGGTCCATAGCCCGCAGACTTGACCTGCACCGAGTGAATTGAAGCAGCAAAACATGGTGTTATCATGCTGCTGACATGGCTATTTACATAGAAAAAATATATATATATATATATGATATATGATATATGATGTGTATATATATATATATAATATAATATAATACATATATATATATATATGTGTAACACATATGTATATATATATATATACCTAGAACTTCCAGGGTATGCATAATTTTAGCCCCTAAGGGGAAAAAAACTCTTGCATTTGAGGGGTGAAATTGTTTTGCAGGGGCTGAAATCAGTTTTTTCATGGATTTGACCATGCTGGCATTCACATAACATGTCTTTTAAAAATGTATGTAACACATATTAGTGCTGGATTAATGTTTTTTTCTGCTGCATCTCGGAGAAAATGATGGATATATGATGGATATTTTGGGATAAAAATTGGCAAAACGTATCTGCATTTTTTTGCATAAATTATACTTAGATGACTAATCTGAAATAAGGCTCTCTCTCTCTCTCACTCTCTCTCCATCTGAAATAAGGCTACTTTCTGCTATTTCGGGATACTTACCCCTACTCACCATCATTCCAGTGACATCGCGGTGAAGTTGTTGCAATTATTGTTGTTTGCCAAAGATATGCAAACAATACCCCAATGTAAAACAACCAAAGGCAGGCAAATTTACCATACATGCCATACATGAAACATATGTTCCAGTAATATCAGTTATATCCAGCTTTGGTCCAATTATGTCCGCTTATGCTGCATTTACAACTAGGTAAAACTGGTGCCATTTTCCACCAAGGTGCTGCTCTAATGCAATTTTATGGTCCTTTCGGATTTTGCTGGTGCTGGGTCAAAAACCATAGTAGAGTACGCTGCTGAATGTTAATACCTCAGAATGTCGCATCAAATCAACCCATCACATCCCATCACATCACATCACCCAATGATCCTTGGCATTTGGGGGCAAAGATTGCGCGATCAACCACATATATATCTGAAACAGGGTGTTGTTGTCTGTTATTACCTCTTCCGGTGCGGTCTCAGCCAACATTGTTTGAACTCATCGGCCTAGGGTTTCACTGATATTCACTGATCCCAAACACCTGTTGTTGTCTGGGTCTGAGCCAACTGTCTGGAGATCAGCTTGTCAACCCATCGTTTCCTCTTGGTTTTTGACCCCTATCCCGACCCTCTCAGGTCGCCCTTTCGGAGCCGTTGGAATCGTCGTCGCTCTACCAGGGACATCTTTGGCCCCGTGCAGCTGTTGGCGAAAACGCTGGTTCGTCCAATGGTTTCATCGAAAAAAATGGTGGTACCATCAATTTTACTATAATTGATTAGGGATATAACGAGCTAGTTCATTTTTTTGAACTAGGTCAACAATGGTTTATTGCAGATGTATCTATGTCATGGGAGTCATGGGCGTTAAAAACCAACAAACATAACTGGGGTGGCACCATCTGCCTGCAAGCTCCGTGGAAGCACCAAATGGGACCAAGGTTGGTTTAGAACCCCCACTATCTGTAATTAGATAGATCTATCCAATGTAAATACACACGGTAACATATATGTATATATATGTATATATGTATTGCTCATGAACAACTTAGCCAACTATTGGGCACCATGTTGTGGGGTCTGTGTTCCATTGTGTCCTGGTCCTGCGTGTAAGTTTACCGGTCAGTTTGGAGAATGTTCATTCAAGGTGGCAGAGTTGGAATGATTCACGGTTCCCAGTTCATGGGTCAGCCCAAAAAACTATCAGTGATCAACTAATTCCCACTATAATGTACGCTTAGACTTTAAAAACAACTCTTATGAACAACATGATATTAACAAATAATTATATAATCTATTCATTTTGCATTAACCGATGAAACTACAAATTAATCAGGCGTCAAGTGGTCACAGCTCACGTGAATTTTCACAAATGGTTTTTATGTGGGGAGCCACTATGGGTGAGACTTGGACTTGAACAGCTCCCCACGCTTGTACTTCACACTATACCTGAGCCGGGTCATTGGGTCAGTCAGTGGGCAAAGAGATGGGATTCCTGAGTGGTGTCAAATGTGTTCAAAAACATACATATGCAAATATTCTCACTATCGTGTGTGCTGAAACACGATGTGTCAAAATGATCAAACGATGAATGCCATGGCTTACAAAACGCTCACTCAGATCCTTTTTATCTATCACTTGGCCCAGTGCACTACGTTCCATGCATCAAATGAGATCAAGGTCATCCGCATCAACGCTCACACTCGGGTATCTCTTTGATCTTGATCTCTCAACATCTCGTAAGGGTGCTGGAGCCACTGATGCAGTATGTTCATAGGCTTGTTGGAGTATTTCGTCAAGCCGTCTGCCCACATCAGCTGCGTAGGAATCCAGTGTGTTCTCCCTCGTGATGTATTGCTGAATGCTTCGTACAGATATGATTGTCCGTTTATCATCTACTGAAGGGTTTTCGGCCACAATGCTACCATACAGTTTTGCAGTCAGTTACTTGAATCATGCGCAGTGGCGTGGTGATTCTGAAGAAAGGCACCTTCTGCAAAATCTCTGAAAGCATGAGGTTGCAAAAACTTGATCTATCAACCGAAGTGTCTGCAGCGCTAGCCTCAGCCGCTAGGGTACTTCTGCAAACTCTCCCAGAACGAGAGCTCTTCCAGTCAATCAAGCGTGCATGTGTCGTCACATCTGTTGCTCTAGCATCCGTGAGCATGATGAGACATCCGTGTTGCGAAGCATAGTTTTCAGCATTGCCCAAGAGGAATCAAAACAATGGTTGAATCATCGACTGCAGTGGGGTTCATCATGAAACCCTTATTACTCGTCCGTCTCAAGTGATCCACAGCGTCATACATTGCCATCAAGTCGGCATAAGTGGCCTTGCTTCCTTTGCTATGCAAACTCACAAGGCTGATTCCAAACATCATCGGAAGAAAGGCTGTTCCAAACATCAGACTTGCATGCAATCTTCGAAAAACTGGTGAGGTTGACCACATAGTGACCATACAAACGTTCAAGTGGAACACCAACCCCAATGAACTCAAAACGAAGTCTTTGACGAACGGTGTCAACCACACAACCAAGTTTTTCCAACATGCGGTGTTGCTTGGGAGAAATGGAATCTGAGCATCCTTTAAAACACTCACCCCCAGCAGCAATCCTTCGGCCAGCTGACCTGGTAATGCTGCAGGAAGATCGGCGCGCTTTGCTGCTTTGTGGATGCCTGACTGAGCCGAATTGAAAGTGGTCGGCCACGTCAATCACATGGGGTTTGAAGCCAAAGTTCATGAGAATCTTGGAGTGAACATCCAACCACTTATCACTGCAACATGACCATTGGCATGCGGTATCAACAATCATGTGCCCGTCATAGTTGATGATTTCGGTAATGTAGTTGGTGAAGGGGTCATGCTCAACCATATGGGTGGCCACAAAGATGAAAAAACGCTGATGGGTTCTCCAAAGATGTAGATGGCCCCGAAGAATCTGGTAGTTGATCTTGAGGTGGTTCCCCAGGAAAAATCACCATGAAAGCCTTCTTGTCAGGATTCCCTTTGCCGTCTTTTCCATGCCTGCCAGCTCCTTTGGAGAAGGTCTTGTCTTTGTCCTTGTTGGACGCAGTGCAAACTGTATCGCCGGCCCAATGGCCAAGCATTCCACATGCCGTGCAGGTACTGGTTTTCTTTCTTTCCTCGATCGTTCGAGGACGTCCAGTGAACTTCCTAACAAGCACCGTCGACTGCAACTTCTTCCAAGTCACGGTCAGCACATTGGCTAGCTCTTGAAGATGATAGGCATCGTCGTCATCTCCTTGGTCAGCATCTTGTTGTTGATTGGGCTCGTCACTACGTTCGCCATGTTCAGCATACTCTTCAGTATCTTGGTACTATTGCACAGAGGCTTGTTGATCTTGTTCTGCAGATTCTTCAGGAATCTGCTTCACCTCCTCAACTTGATTGATCGGCCTGGTAGCACGTCTCGGATGTGATCCCTTTTTGAGGGAGGTCGATAGGAGGAAGATGAAGATGCCATTGCCGAAGAGCTCTGAGAAGATGTCGAAGGTGAAGACGAAGTAGGGGGAACTTGATCCCTTATACCATTGGTGTTGCCGGAACCCGCAACAGGTGGACTTGGTTTGAAATCCGGACGCTGAAAGTTCAAGGGCTCACTCGCTGGATCGAACACCAGTGAATTGCCAGCGCCAATGGGAACCAATCTTTGCAGATCAGGTGTCCAATGTGAACGGTCAAGCAACCTGTTACCACGAGACTCGGAATCATAGATAGCAGCGGTGCTGATTCCGATCGCAAACAAATCTTTCTCGACGCGCGCATATCGGTTTGCAAATTGACGGACCGATTCATTTGGATACCTGGAAATGTGCTCGTAGTCCGACAACAGCTTCCTCTTCTGAAACAACAACTTCTGCTGCAACGGCTCTCCAAGGGTATCCACAAGATATATACTTGATTCCATCGGCTGAATTCACTTTGTTCAAATCCAAATGTTCTGTTTCCAGTTCCGCTTCACCAGACAACGGCGTAAACAGCATGAGTGCCGCATCGGATGGCGGCATGAATGCTTTCATCATCTGCAAGGCCCAGACCTCAACCTTCCGTTCCCATCGTGCAAAAGCCCGAAGATCAGCTGAGTTTCGCCATTGTGGTGGTGAAGGTGGAGTTCCACCATGCCAACGAACCCCTTTTTGCGGACCCGCTCAAGAACACCAAGAATCTTGACTTCGAGAGGAATGGTTCTGCTGTGCAACCAGTTGTGTCAAAAGGTCAATGATCCGATTCTGTTTTGAACCATCCAAGCACAAAACATTCGCCCTGCCTCCGGTTGGCTATCGTTTCGCCCACGTCTCCGGCGTCTCCTCCTTGGCAGAACTGCTCCAGATTCCGGATCTACAACAGGGTCGGTTGTACGACTCTCACTGTCGGACTGCTCAAAACCTGGAGAGCTGCTATGGAAAGGTGGATCTTGTGGTGCAGCCGGTTGTTGATCTGAACCCAGATTGGGAACATAGACCCAGCATCCCTCATCAGTTGCCAGGCGTTGTGGACGAGCTGTGTCATAAAACTCCGTCTTGCCGCAATCATCGCACATCCATGATTGAAGGGAGGGTGTCCCAATGCCAGAACTCAGTGATTACAATTTTACAGCATCGCCACTTCGACGAATCCCTGGATCTATCAACATGCTCGCCATCCGCCTTCAGACCATCAGTCATGTCAGGTGGGGTCGCATCTCGATATACTTGTATTTCGGAGTAACAGCTAGGTGATTTCAACATCATTGCCAAAAAAGATCGAACTCCCACAAATCATCATGACTCGGAGGATCAAAATGGGGCAGATGGAACTGTTGCATGTCGGTCACCCAAGCTCCGGTGCCAACTCTCTATCGTGTGTGCTGAAACACGATGTGTCAAAATGATCAATCGATGAATGCCATGGCTTGCAAAACGCTCGGATCCTTTTTATCTATCACTTGGCCCAGTGCACTACGGTCCATGCATCAAATGAGATCAAGGTCATCCGCATCAACGTTCACAAATATAACCCAACAATTAGCTAACAAATAATACATACTCAAGAGAGAAAGGGTCAGCATTGCAGCTTGTCAATTTGTTTGTCAACCAATGACTTGAGTAAAACGTGCTGCATATGGAAGCACCTTTTCTAGTGGATGACACAGGTAGTTGGCTAAGCATTCAGAACTATGGAGCTATCACAGAAAGGATGCATCTGAGCATATTATATACCCTCTGGTAAACTAACATAGCTATTGAACATGGCCATTTATAGTGGGTTTACCCATTGAAAATAGTGATTTGCCATAGTTATGTTAGTTTACCAGAGGGTACATAGTAAATGAATCACTTGGGTTGTCTGGAAATAGGCTACCTCATCCACTGGAGTGAATCAGAAATAAAAATTGCCCCATTCAAGTTGCAATAACTTGACGTTTATTTCAAACAAACCCAAGTCCATCAAATTCATTGTTAAAATATGTCTAAAATCATGATAAATCCCAGTTGTTGATGGATTCTATGAGCAACTCCCAACCGTTTTCAGCATTTCTCATGGCTAAATCCCCTCAGAATTTTGATTCCGTGACCTCGCCTCAATCGCACACATACACGCGCGCACACACACAAATACGCATATTATAATGCATAGCATATAACACACACACATATATATATATATATATGTATATATACGTATACACACTATATACCCATGTTAAATTAATATATACATATATATATATATATGTATAATATACATATATATATATACATACTGTTTAATGCTATACAGTATATGATTCGAAATGTACTGTATACTGTATACAAGCGTTGCTCACCTAGCTTTCAGGCAGGGAAATAAATCCTCCCAGTTTTCCACGTCCCCGGCATTTCTCCAAGGAGCTCGGGATAAACATTTTCGGTGTCAAACCTGGCAGCGATTGATGGCTGTCAAGTTGGTGTGAGATGGAGTGTGAGTAAAGCAATGGGTGGTATGGTGGTAGAAAACAATCCTGTATAAACCATATGGATCCATATGGGTGGTTATGGTTGATTGTTACTGTATATAATTAGAGGCCTGACTTAGAACAGTTAGGGTAAATTTTGCAGGCAAGGGAACGGCGTTCTAAGTGTATGAAAAAGTGACAATTTGTGTTCTAAGTGTAGGTCTCTAACTATATATATATATATACACCGGTATGCTCCAATTTATGACCATTGAGGAAGGAATGGGATGAGTCACAAGCGGAGTTAGATGTGGCCCTATCTTTCTGTTTGATTATGTATCTACACATCTGTTTATCATAAGGTTACATAAGAGACTATCCCACCAAAAATAAACATTATCCTTAAAAGTAGTTATAACTTATAACTAAAATCCATCATAGTGCATGGTAACTCCACCTTACCTGCATGAACCAGTGACAAGTTAGGATTGGTGAACGTGAATCGTCCGACTGTGGTGGTTGCAAATGGCTAGAGCAGTCTACAGGATGTCAACTGGGGGGATCCCTGGCCCCTGGCGTCCCGGACACGATGAACTCACGGTAGGTGCCGGAGATCTTGATCCGATCGCCCAAGATGCAATCGGATTCCCTGGGTGATTCGCAACCAAGACAACAGTGCTATTTATGTGCTACAACCACTGCCGTTACATCCAGTTACTACAATGATCAATGATCATCTTTGTTCTGATTTGTCATCATATGAGCCTATACTACTGTGTATCATAGGATTTTGCCTTTTTATAGTAGTGTCACCGTTGACATGGTGGGGGTCTAACATTTTCAAAATGGATCCTATCCTGGCCAGCTTACAAGTCTTTTGCTTTGACAAGTTAATCCATGGCTGGGGAAGTGACTAGTCAAATTAATGCCACCTCAAAAAAGACTTCATGCCTGCAGTCACATGAGCTCCCTTTTACCATTAGTAGTGTTGATGGCTAAATAATAATTCAATATATATATGTATATATATACTATAACATGTTTATATAGGCCAAAGAATGGTAATCTTTTTTTTTCGGGGTGAGATGAGGTCCTGGAAAAATAGAGAAACTAAACTATTTCCGTTGGCATCATCCCTTTGAGGTTTCCAATGGTTTTCCCTTGGAAATTGACAGCATGCAGAAGTTGATCAAAACGCGCAAGATGGGTGCCAGAAATGGGGGGACCCAGTGGGCCCACCAAGTTGGTCTTCTGTCCGGCTCGGCTTCCCGACCCTTGCGTGCATTCTCGGGTGAGAGCATCTGGATCAGGGTTCCTGATCAGCATGGCATCTGTGGGAGATTGGATGATTCTCGGGCATGTGCGGCAAGAGGCTTGACCAAACAATATCATGAATCACATTCGTGATGCAGTCCTGTGGTGGTCCCATCTTTGGGTTTCAACTGCCCCATCCTGGGGTGGTCCCATCGGCCCATGATGCCCATGACTGCTACCTCCCCACAGCTTCTGCTTTCATTGACCCTAGCTTTGGTGGATTCAAACGCCTATGTTGTTGGTTCAGTCAAACAAGCCATCTCCAAAAATATGAGGTCTGAGTAAATTTCATCACCCAATTCTTGAAAGGGCATTTGTTTAAAGAAATATGGAGCACCATCAACTTACTGCAAGAGTACGTACTTTGTCCAGAAATGGCTATCTTCGAAGATAAATCATGACAAACAACGGGGGTTTTTGAGGTCCCCAAGGGTCCCCTATGGAGCTTTGGATAACACAAACATCTCCTCCGTGTCACGGTCATCTCGAGGCCTGTCCGCAGTGTACTTCACCCGGCCACCCAGCACACGACCTCACAGGAAAGGAGTTTGTTTATTGGAGATAGGTAAACCAACTATGTGCTGGTTGGTGGTTTTAACAGTCAAGGGTTATCCCATATACTATGGAAAATAAAATCCATGTTCCAAAGCACCAACCAGATGTGGATTAGTGATTAGTGGATTAATCACCGGCAAATTTTGGTTCAGATACCCTCTGGTAAACGTTTACATAACTATGGAAAGATCCACCATCTTGAAGTTTGGTAAATCCACTATTTCGATTGGGCCATTTTCAATAGCGAACTGTTAGTCATTACCAGAGGGTATGTTCAGACGAATCAACATGAATCAACAATTGGTGATATGCAACCCCCAAGCTCGGGAGCTCCTGGGAGTTTCGCGTTTCGACCTGCTGAGCATGTTGAATGTTGAGGAATCCATGGTGAGGGAATGAACTCCTCCATTGCCCCAAGTGAAAATTGGATTGTATGAGATGGTAAAGACATGTAAAAACATGATGTGAAGATTGAAAATCATGTGCATGTTTACTATATATATATATATATATATCATATAATTTCTGCATGGGACAAGGCAAACAACAAGCGCTCAAGGACAGCATCTATTGCATATTTAACTATTTAACATATTCATGAGTTGGACGCCAAGACCATTATCCGCGACCACTTCCGTAGATGCTGGCAGCGTGAATCTGTTCATTTTGGATCCCCCAAATCGGTGGTATTTGAAATCATTGGGGCAATTAAGTTAAATTCCTAGTGCCCTGCAGTAACGTAAATCATGAAAAATCAACCATTTGTAGATCATGTGCAAGCACAGAAAAAAATGCATGTCCACAGTCTGTTTTTCTTTTTAAATGTTTAACAGGGGGAAAGTAAGCATCTTCAGCTGGATTCACCCGAGGTTCCCAAACACAGCAGGACGGTGTAGAGACCATCCTCTTCTTTGGAATACTCATCTGCCTGGACCATGAAATGACCATCTGAGCTCAATTGGGCGACAAAGGAGAAGCCCACTGCAACTGATGTGTTTGATACATATGACATACGTGTCATTTCTACATAATTGTGTTAATTATTAGATGACTTTTTGCTGATCATGATCCGAAACCAAATGAATATGATCATCCATTAGATTTAACCCTCATGGGTGGTAGATGCAAAATGAAACGATTCGGTCCAAGGAGGAGCGGAAAAAACTCACATTGACGTGCTTACCGTGTTTGGCAGGTATGCCTCTAGTTTGAGAGTCTCAAAAGTCAACTGAAACCGATATATCTGTATATGTATATATATATATACATCTGTGCACCATGGTGCTGGGTTAGGACAGTGGAAAAAAGAAAGAAATCATCCCATGCCATATTGCTTCATACTGACAATCTGCAGTAAGAAATGTCCACATCCTCCAAGTTAGGGATGAATTTAAACCTAAACCATCACTCTGGTGGCTGTTTGAAGCTATAAACTCAGCATATCATCAATCACATATGATTGTCTTCAATTATAGTTTCTGAGCCTTAGTCTGTTGCATCATCTTGCATCCATGTAGATCTGGTGATGTCAGGGTTGGTTTCTCCGCTTTTCAATCATTTCTTCGGTTCTGGATATGAAAACGATGTCATGATAATCCAAATGGCCCTCATATCAATGGGATATTCCCTTACATAGGCCTTATATATAGGCCTCACATATGGTAGGTACCTCTAGTCTAGGTTCCTGAAATGGCCATTGATCATATCATCTCCATACAACGATTCTTGTTGGTTAAACTCCCATTATGGATGATTGTGAATATGGTGCCTCTAAATCCATTGCTCAATGTGTGCAGGCCAATAAACAGCCAATTTGGGGATGATAGCTAGCTACCGCCCATTTGCAGTGGCACAATCGGGATAGTCTGTAACTTATAATCGGGTTTTAACACATGAATCATCATTTTAATATATGTTAATCATCATTTTTCCAGGTTTTCCCTATGACTTTGCCCCAAAAAAATCATCAGTTTCCCTCCATGGACATGTTACCATAGCTCCAAACACCTTGGTGATGGACTCCGCGAAGTAGGAACCGCGACCTAAGTCAACGACTGATCGTATCCGACTGGTCGTGTCTACATGTAAATGTAGTCAAATATGCCATGTGTGCAGTGTGCACATGTAATTAGTATACTTCGTATAGTATATCCCTTGATAAAGCTCAATCAAGCACTTACCCCAGTTGGGAGACTTCCTAGAAGCAAAACAAAGTTCACCACCTGCCACTGGTTTCACGTATTCGAACCAACAAACATACATCTCCACGACAAAATCATAAACAGTGCTCGAAATCAACCAAGAAAACGATATCAAACATGGGCCACATGGGCCAGTCCAGAAAAAGTATCCACCAAATTAAGTGAATCATGTGGTGTTTTTCATCGCTGAACCCTACTGAAAATAAGGTCCTTTTTTGAGGGATCCGGGATCCACTTAACTGGCCAAACCAGAAACTTAAGTGCTTGACGGGGATACAACACACTTCCCCAAAACTGATGGCATATAAAAGTCTCCTTATTTCTGGTTGCTGGTGGTTATGAAAAACGTCTTTTACATATATATATATATATTTACATTTATTCATATATGTATATGTTTTTAGAATCATTCAACTTACTATTGGCGGGGTTATGTATTTCCGGGGGTTGGTGAAACCCATTCCCCGGAGGGGACAGCCGAGTGGCCGTAGAGCGTTCCGGTGGCACTACCTGCTAGCCTCATCTTGAAGTCTGACCTGCGCTCTTGGAGATTACCGTGGCCTGGGGCCTGGGAGGAACAGCAAAACAACCATGGAGCCATGAATGTGTATGTGTATGTATGTATGTATATATATATATATGTGTGTGTGTGTATCTAAATGTATATATATATATATTAGACATATGGTAGCCCCCCAAAAAGATTGAACAGTAACTGGATCACTATTTGAAGGATTTTCAGTATATACTTTCATTTTTGGGGTGGTGCTGTGCAAATACTGTTAATAAAAGCAAGTAAGCATAGCAAATGAATGTCAACCTTAAGAAGTCGAGACTCTATCTAGTGTTGGAACCAACAAAAATGGCATTGTACCGGCATTCAACATGCAAGACTTCCTGAAACCCATGGGTCTAGATCATTCTCCGTAAAGACACATATACACATACACACACATATACATGACATGTACATGTATATATATATATATACATGCACATGACATGTAAAGACATATATATATATAATGCTTTCAAATCGCCGACATTGATGCGTTTTCAAGAGATGAGGGCCGCGGATATTCTGATCAATCCCCCAGAATTTGAGAACCAACCGGCTGAGTCTCCCAACATACAAATGTTGTGAGCAGCTGAAGAACTGGTTCCATGCCAAAGATACCACCTCTCTGACCAGGCAGGATGCCGGAATGTGGCCTGTGAATACTAGGTATTGGATGGTATTGGTATGTGTTGGTCAACCGGGTTCCAAGGTTTTTCAAGCAAGCAACCTCTGGAACCGCTACCACCAAATACCAGAGACATTTTGCTTGTCTGTCAGTCTCTCCCAATTTGAATCATCATTTCTTGCATGATTTGCATGGTTTCTGGTTTACTCCCCGCTAAATTAACAACATGGACCAGCTACCATGAGGTTAGATCATTTTGCAAGGGTTTTCCCCATGGTTGTCTTACATACCCTCTGGTACTTTAACATAGCTACGGAACATCGCCCATTTACTTGGATGATTGACCTCTTAAAGTGGTGATTTCCATGGCAAACTGTTAAATCTTCCAGATGGATTCTAAGGATATGGTGTTGTTGATGTACTGGAGGCTCCAGGAAACTAGCAGTTCGCACACTGGAACCCATTTACAAATGACTTACCGAAAAAATTCACTGGTTCTTTTTCCCATAGCTATGTTACCCTCTGGTAATTTAACATAGCTATTGAAAATGACCATTTATAGTGGATTTACCCATTAAAAATGGTGATTTTCCATACTTATGTTAGTTTACCAGAGGGTACACTATGTTAAATGACCAAAGGCTAACTCCCCAACTCAAGCCACCAGCGTTGGGCCCAGCCCGCAGCTCGGGCTCCCAGCTCATTGATGGAGGTCTCCAGCTGGTCGCCATAGGCTGACCACACCTTCGTGGTCAGCACATCGTCATAGACCTGGTGAAAAATGCATCAGTTGCACACTGCACCCGTGGTGAAAGATAAGAAATCAACGGAGACACTTCCAATATCCTGATTTTCAGTAATTAGATAATTAAGAATGTTCAAGTATGTTCAAGTCTTGCGGGAAGCCATTATATTCTTCGACACACATCTTGAGGAGCAAACCCATGATTCGTAGACCCAATAGTAAATCATCCGCCAAGCAAGTGGTTCATGAAATTGGGTTTTAACCGAGTTTGCCCTCCAGTAAACTAACATAACTATGGAAAATCACCATCTTTAATTTCGGTAAATCAACTATATATAAATGGTCCATTTTCAATAGCAAACTGTTAGTCATTACCAGAGGGGAAACTGGGATGATGTTTGATATGAGCCCCTTTTCCTGCAGGCTTGGCTATGCCACAAGAACCGCTGCGGTGCTGCCTCGAAGGGTTTTGCATCAGAAGCCGTTTTGACTTCCTAGCAGGGATTGGCATAGGCATTTACCACCCAAATTTCACCAAGTCATTGGCTTTCGGGATCCAACATGGTATGTTGAATCCATTTGAATCCTGGAGGGCCTGGGTCTGAAAAATCTGGCGCCCATAAACATGGGGATATGAACTTTCGACAAGAGAACTTGGAGAAACAAAACAAGAAACTATGAGGAATCACAACCAAGCAAACTGAGTCAAAGAAAGTCAACGTGGAACACCGTAACACATACCCGAAGTACCTCACAACCCCTTCTGGAAGAAACTCACTCCCATGTTCTAGGGCAGAGTCATGTTCCAAGACTTTTTTGCTAGGCTGGACAAGAGTGTTCATGAAGGAAAGTAGCGCTATCCAACCTATCAGGTCTCATTGACATCACTAGGTGGTGGTTTTAACCACCACCCAAACAACATGGATCATTTTCATCAAACATCCCGTTTCTATGGTTGAAAAAACAAAAGAATTTTGGGCGTCTGAAATTTCACTACCGAAAATTCCACTGGTCAACAATCAATGTTTCGCATTAAAATTAAAATGACCATTTGGGGTTGTATGCCTTATTTTCAGACAGACCCATTTATACATATTTGATCCATTATTATACCATTATAAACCATAGTTAAACCATAGTTAAACCATATTTGAAACCACCAAGCAGATCAACGCCTTCGACATCTTCGACAATTCCCTTAACAGTTAAGCACCTGTTGCAGTTCGGCTTTCTTGACGCAATACCTCGGAGACTGCAGGAATGACACTTAAGTGAAGGGATACCAGGGGGAACGACTTGCCACAGGTTTTCTCATTATAAAAAGACATAAAATTTGAACATGTCATCTTTTCGCGGGGTTAAACACTAAACTTCCCTAGTTATACTGAAATAGTACTTAAATACCATACTCACCACTAATTTCATGTTACAGCAACCTCCAAAACATGTGGAATTACTGTAACACTATGTAACACTGGGGAAACATAAGAATTCCTCTACTCAATCGGATGCTAATCTTCGGCCCATGCTCCCGGCACCCGCGCTCTGCAACACATTCCACCGAACATGCAGCAGCTTTTGTTCTCCGCCGTTGCTATGACGTTTCTGACGCACGGTCAGGGAGTCGCTATACATGTATATCCCGCGGGTCAACCCCCGGAAGCGTCTGGATAATCTACAACAAATCCTGGCCAAGATTGAATATGATTCACTTTAATTCATGATTCATTTTATAGATGTCAATGTCCCCCCAGTTGCTCCACATCATCGTGAGGATAGGGTCGTCTGAAACTGTTAGAATCTGCTAGAAAATATCCGGATTAATGAATCCATAGCTGATTCTCCGGGTGACCAGCGGTCCTTTCTTTGGCTCTAAGCCTTGGGTCGGGACGAGCAGTGATCTTCCCAACATCAGAAGCCACAAATGGGTGCAGTTGGGGTGATTTATGGAGATAACCATGGTACCTCCCAAAAGTTGGGAACATGATGTACCCACTCTATATGGTTGTGTATCCAATGATTGTTCCAACTTATGGTATCCAATGGTTATTCCAATGATATTCCAATGGTATATGGTATCTATAGTTGGATATTCCAATGATTGGAAGAACTCTTGGAACTTGAATATTCCAACGCTGGTTATGTCTCCATTTTGTTTATGGATCACCTCCAAGTTCCAACATCTAGGTTGCTTGCTCAATCCACGCGCTTGTGGGGAGGCTGAAGCCCATCTCAGTTGCTCTGCGACGAAGCGCTGCGGACATCTTCTCGGACCTCTGGACCTCCAGGGAATTCATCCCCCATCCGGAATACCCGGCCTGGTGTACTGTACGTGCACATAACGAACTGGAAAATCACCAAAGATCCACCATGTTCGATAGGTAAATCATGGTAAATCAACTATTTCGACTGGACCATATTAGCAAACTGTTCGTCATTACCAGAGGGTACCTCCTTTGCCGCCCGAGGTGATCCGGAGATCCAGGGCTACAAAATGGTCATATTCTCTTGCCATGTTTGCTGTTCACCAGATTCGAGGATCCCACTTATACAGTGGTCCATAAGCCTAGTTAGTAAGTCCCCAAAGTGGTCTTATCCCATAATATCCCATATTATATATAATATATATATATACAAGTGGTTCATAACCCTAGAAAGTCCCTTAAGTGGTGTTATCCCATATATAATACCCCACATATAAATATACATTCTATATAACTGGGCTATAAATACGATTCACCAGTTACTAATACCAATAATTTCAATAATGATTAATGATGGATTTACCCTCTGGTAGACTAACATAGCTAATCAGAGCTATGGAAAATCACTATGATTTACGAGGCAAATCTCATTGAACTAAATGGTCCATTTTCCATAGCTATGTTGGTTTACTGGAGGGTAATCCCATCCCGGCAATATTAAACACCCCACATAAACCATGGTTTACTTGGAGATTTACACTTATTTGGGACATGTTTTTATTGGGGGCTGTTTAATACTACGGAGATAGACGCAATTAAGAAACCATCACTCAAGTCATCACCAGTTTGATGCGTGCTATGTTTACGATCCCTAAATGGTAGTTGTTTCTGGCAGCTGGGGTTTCCCATTTCTTGGCGTTTACTTGGAAACATTCATGGTCTCCCTTTGAGATTATCATCGGCCTTCACCATCATGGGATATCATGGGCTTTGGCAGTTCATTGTTTATTTTACCTGCACTATTTTAGTTTTGTCAGGGCATAGGTTCAATTCGCATTTCGCTGCTAAACCACCAGTTGTAAATATTTCCACTGTTTAGATATTTCATCCCGATGTTGCCAGTTTAATGTCCGCATGTTCTTACATATACTGGTAGACCTCATCATTTTTTTCGCCTTTCTGTGCCAAAAAAATGGCTGCTGGGAATTGAAATCCTTTCACCCGATTCAGTCATTCTGCCAAAGATATCTGCTGACATGGGTGTATCTGAAAATACTGCAACGTCATATACTTATCATTGTTTATCATCATGCTCTGCATGAAGAGTGACATAAATTGGGATAATGCACCGTTCTTCCACAATTTCACATCTCTGTTTCAGACCAAAGCGCGCAGAAGAAAACCAAGGATATTCTCTGCCCAGACTTGTGGGTGACCTGCCAAGAGGGCGATGCCCCACTTTGTTGGCTCAGTTGAAGTAGAGTAAGTAGCTGGACTGTTGGGTTTATGGTAGAGCTAGTGTTATAGAGGTTCTAAAACCAACCAACAAAAACTGGGGGGCCTTGTAGACTGTAGACTTAAACATAGTCGTGTCCGTATCCAGCATGGGAATCAAACACACCCGTATATCTTAGGCGCACCGCCCTTCACCAAAGCTCTGCTCAGTTCAACTGCGTCCCCATCCTACTTTCCAGTTGTTTTTTTTTTCACCGTGATCAATTGCCCTTCTTTATTATGATCTTCCAACACGCATCACCTGCAGTTGGCTATGAATCAAAACCGCGGTGCCGTTGTGAAACATCAAAGTGAATTTTGGCCCATCCCTAGCCAATCCCTCTGGACCCAAACTCCACTGAAAAGGTATTCAAACAACCCCATGTTTAACCCCAAATAATCCCTAAAATATAAAATCCCAGTTATATGATGTTATATGGATGAAAACTCACCCCGCACATTCTGGTTAAACTCCATAGGGTACAGTTTACCATCATCATAATCACCCATCGAGGGGGATATGGAGAAACATCAATCCCACTGGGGATATGGAGAAACCTCATACGATATACGGGAGGATAATCCATCCATGATTTCTATACCATCTAGCTATTGGGCTACCACCATTTATGGAACCCCCCATATTAAAAACCCTATATATCCATATATAACCCATATATCGCGTTCTTTTTGTGAATTGTCTTCTTCCTCCAGTTGATCCCCCGATCATTTCCAAGGAAAACCCGGGCCTCATGGGCCTTCCTTCCATCGAAGTAGTGGATTTTCCTCTTGATGTCTAGAAGAATGCTGTCCTCGTGGAATGCGATGGAATGCTGATATGGATGTCATGGCTAGTTGGAAGATTTACTGATGAGCCATTCTCCATAGCTATATGTTGAATATGTTCAAGTACCAAATGGTACCAACAAAAATTAAGAAACATGTACTTTTTGAGGAAAACAAGTGAAATGAGGGCACATAAACTTGTTTGACATACGTATCCAGTCTTATTGGTGATAATTTGCACCCTATTAAATGTGGAAAATAGCCATTGTTTGTGGATTAAAAAAACCGTCCTACCCTCTGATAATCAAACATGGCTTGCTGGAAAACCCCCCGTTGAGTCACCGGGATTTCCCAGCAATGTTTGAGCACACCGGATATGGCCATCCTTAGCTATGACGAATCAACATGAATCAATATTCACCACCATTAATCACAATGAATCCACCATGAATCCACCATTGATTCACTATGAATCACTATAATTGGGGATCCAAGAGCCACATCTGTGCCAGCCAGGCCGGCCTGGGGTGCCCGTGGGGTTCACATGATGATTTGAGACCACCAGTGAGATCACCTAAAACCATCCAACAACATAACCGAAGCTCATCTAGATCCATCGCGCGTGCGCCAAAATCATCTAAAACAATCTGCATCAATTTGATCAATAATCCCAAATAATGCGACATGAAAACTCATCTAAAATCATCCAGAATCAACTAAAATCATCCAAAAAGAAGCCTCGGCTTTGGAGGGATGGGAGCCTCCCCTCCCCTTGGGCCCCACCTTCTTCTTCAGATGTTCCACTTTGCAGGTCAGAGGGTCTCCTCAGTCGGTGGGTGCCATGGGATAGTTATATGATAAGCGGTGAAAGATTGAAACCTTTAAAGCATTATATAATATGTATAGAGATAGTTATATGATACACATGGCGACATATAGAATTATATAATTTTAAAATATGTAGAGAATTAGTTCTACTATGTTTTACTTATTTATAATTTAATGCTTGCAAAACACATGGTTTTTGCTAATGTTTGCATATTCTTGGGGGATATGAGAAAAAATCCTCCATCAAAACGGCTAAACAAACAATCCCTTGACCTAGCATGGGATAGCACCACATCTGCACCAGAAATCGCTCGGCCAGCACCGTTTAGATATCTAGAGCCCATTGCAGACAAAGATCTGGGAGTTAGCCAAAAGCCCACTACTAGTGAACTAGTGCCCTGCCAGCTTTCTTTCCAAAAAAAAACAAACAAAGTCATATCAATGGTTCAACCAGATTTTGAGTATTGGATTGGGCTGGCTGACCCGCGTGCTGGCCAAGCTTCGCTTCCAGTACCGCAAATGACCTCCGCTGTACTTGCCCAAACCACGAATGGCTGACGGACCCAGATTATTCCTCAGCTAGGTCAGGGGCAGACTAGAATGATGTGGTATAACATTTAATTGAATGCATTCAAAAATAAATATATACATCTAAATTCTATAAGTAAATACATTACATTCAATATAAAGTTGTTTGCGCCTTAAACGAAGTCAAGAGTGCATCCTCAACACACATCCAATCGACAATCTCAGTGGAAGACGGATGAGCTGTAGCGTCATTGAACCGTTTCACATGTTTACAGTTACGGCCCCTGCATTGAATCGAAGCTTGTCCCAACAAAGGTAGACACACAAATTAGCTCCATAGCTCAGCCTGTCAAAGCCATCAGACCACTTTGAGCTGGATATCTCAACTTATCTCTCCCTTTCTTCCCGGGGCTTCTAAAGGTTATTTCAACTGCCAAAAGCAACAAATCCATCTAACCTGCAAGGTGGTGCACCCCGGTTATGTTTTATTGGTTTATCATCCCCATCAACTACCCACCACTTCACTGTTTGTTACTCTAACCAACTTAGCCAACATAAATCAGTAACTGCATCCCATCAAATCCCCATTTCGGCAGCGGCTTCCCCATCCCCCAACGCCCCTACCGTTGTCTCAGGTGCCGATCCCGGTGTCTGGCGGCCTGGTAGTCAATGTTAAGCGAGATGGAAGTCCAAAAAAAGGACTTGCGGCCCACGCCTTGGGGGCGCGTCATTTTAGTAGGATGAAACTCTTCAATGATTCTATCTATCTGAGGGTTGCTATGCACAGTATATATGTGTGTGTAGGTATATACATACATACACACATCACACACTATATATGTGTGTGTATACTATATATGTATATCAAAAATATATATATATATATCGAAATAAATCAATATATGAAAACATGAATAAATAAATACATTAATATATATATATATGCAACATACGCACATTACCAAATGGTAATCAGTTTATGTGGAGTTATACACGCACATATTATATATTTGGTAGCGGTGACTGTCTCCAATTATTCTTGCTAAGAAATGTTTTTTTTGGCAATCCTGACCTTCAAAGTACCCATAGGTGGAGATAGTGAGATAGACCTCTGATTCTTTGAACACAATTTGATGAAAAGCCTCTGGGCCCCTTTTCGCTGCAATCCATGTGTGGCAGCGTGGCATACCGACCTGCACCAACAAAATCCCAGAGTTGTGGGGGTAGGTATGCCTTATACCTTAAAGCAATTGCACCGATTACTTATCATAAATAGTTGAAAGCACGAGTTTAGGCAAGTTATGGCTCTGAGGATGTGAATACACAGAGTTGGATTGACAATTGATTGACATACAATCGTTCAGGACCAAGCTCAACCCATCCTGGTGGACCACTTCCAAAGACCATCCGAAGACCTTGGAACCCAAATCTGCAGCTATCCAAACGCCAAATTCAACACGCAACTTCAGTAACTGTCACGGAGTTAATAAAGGAGCAGTTAAAGGAAAACATCGGCAAAGGAGTCCACAGGATACAAGCTGATGGTTTCATCAACAAATCTGCACAAAGTATCTATAGAACTTGCTTGCTTAAGAAATCCCCCACAAAAAGTACAACATTTCCCTATAGACTCCCCAAATCCAAGTACCCTCTGGTAAACTAACATAACTATGGAAAATCACCATGCTATTAATGGGATGACTTTTCCTATAAATGACCATTTTCAATAGCTATTTTGACATAACCAGAGTTTTGATAGGTAAACCATCTATAAATGGGCCATTTTTCATGGCTATGTTAAATTACCAGAGGGTAAATGTTCCCAGTCGAAGTCTTCCGGGAAACGGCCCGACTCCCGCCCCATCCGCATCCCAGTGGCTCGATAAAAACCATCGGTTCATCAGCTCCGTGACGTTCCTTTTGTGCGGTTCCAAGGCGTGGAAAGAAGCTGCGGGGGAACCCACTGCCTTGATTTCTAGGATCATAGATAGATAAACCACCATATATATATATATATATTTGTGTGTATATAATAATTGATATTAAATTCATGTAAGTTATTACTAGTACTAGTTATTACCTAGTAAGATTTGGAGGTTACGAAAAACACACCGCAGGCTCCAAATACATAGTGAAAGGCTGGTAAGCGGGAAATGATTGGAGCAATCTTCTGAGGGATGCCTGCAGACAACCACTGTCACGGGTTGTCTGGTGGATCATGGTTGAACCACCGTAGTTTTTGTAATCGCTTTCATTCGAATTACCCTCTGGTAAACGTTTACATAACTATGGAAAGATCCACCATCTTGAAGTTTGGTAAATCCACTATTTCTATGGTCATGTTCAATAGCTATGTTAAATTACCAGAGGGTATGTTTGTTGGTTGCCAATCAATATCACCAAGGGCCCTCTAGTGAACAATTGTGGCAATGGAAAATCCATTCAGATCTCCAGGTACAAACAAATCTGTTGGTTAAAATAATGGGCCCCCGGTCATCAACAAGAATCAGTTGTTGCCGACCCCTTAGAAAACCCCATTTGCAGGCAAATCCTCCCATGGTCAAATTATGTCAAATCTATGATTTCCCTTGGCACCAAGAAGAGCCAACTGCTGTTCAATAATCACACCTTTGTTGACTTACATAACATTTTGGTTCAGCGTTACATAGCATACCAAATCTATAAAACTAGCACTCGCCTGGGCACCAACAAAGATCAAATGCCTTTCTTGTTGGTGAAATCCATTCTACAAGCAACCAAGCAAAAAACTATTATATATATATATATATATATATACAATGTTGTCTGAAAAAAATGACGCTCCGAATTCCCGTGGTCAAACACCAGGTTTACCCAAGTCAGCTCCACTTTGTGGGGAATCCCAACGTCTGAGTCGGACCTTCACCATCCGCATCGAAAAAAATAATCCGCCCAGATTATCAAAGACTAAGATGCCCCCCGTTTCTCTCTCCATCGCCTAATGTTTGTTGGTTTATCGCCCCAATTAATTAGTTGATTATATCTACTATAGACCTATCAGCGGGGTATGATTCATCATGATATATCTACCATGGAGTAGCTTGATATACAGTATTTATATACCATCAAGAAACATATTTATAACCCCAATTAACTATGGACTATATACCCTCTGGCAATTTCACACATAGCTACGAAAAATGCACCATTTAGTTTAGTTCAATGATTTACCTATCAAACATTGTGATCTTCCACAGCAAAACGTAAAATTCCCAGAGGCTAGATACATATTTTATTCTACCATTATGATTTGTATAACCATGATATAAGCCCCATCAACCATAGTATACCTCCCAACCGCCCACAAAAAAACGGTAACCCTTCCACGTTAGTGTCGGATACTTCTTGGACATAGACGTCATGACCGGTTTGGGGCTGCCGCGGGGGCCGACCAAGCCGAAAGTGTCGCTGAAGACGGGCTTGTCATCCCTGCGCCGCACCTTTTGTGCGTTGCCATGGGAGTTACCGGTGGTTAAGCCTCAGTAGTTTAATGGTGTTTCATAGTGAAACATAGTGATGAATAGTGGTTGATGATAATGTTAATAGTGATTAATAATGGTTATTAGTGGTGGTTAATGGCTATTACCCTAGTGGTTGACAATGGTGATTAAAAATGATTAGCGATTACTATTAATGGAACACCTCCTCACCCTCGGTAGTTAATGTTGGCTAATAGTTGTTAATAATAGCTAATAATATGGTTAATCATAGTTAATAGTTCAATCATGGCTTGGATGATTTACCCAATTGTGGGGGTACATAATGTGGAAATATCTACAGTTAAATCTAGCGTTTCTTATCTCAAATCTGCAGTTTTGCCATATAGTAACACACTGAAAGAGAGAGAGAGATATATATATTTAAAAAAAACACACATCATCACTCTGCTATGTTGGTAGGATGTTACTGCTCCATCTTTTTGAAGGATGCTATAGGATAAGCTTACACAAATCTGAAAAAACATGGGGATTCTTACTTACTTGTTGGAAAATGACCTACAGAACCTAGGCGGCTTTTTGAGATCTAGGTTAGTTTACGGGAGGGCACCTATCAAAAACAATGTTCCATAGCTATGTTGAATTACTTGAGGGTAGATTTGTCTTCACGAATATGGGCTGGGATGGAAACACATATGAAACATGTTGGAAAAAATAAGGGATGGGATCAAAGAATAACAGGTGGTGTTTGACTTTCATCTTTCACGGGAAAACAATGTTTTTGTTTAAAAATTCAAACAAATCCCGTCAAATAAGGGGCAAAAGCTGCACATGTTCCTTTCCACCAAATACAGGAGAAATCTTGAGAACAACCAAATACAGGAGAAATATTGGGAAATCATTAATTTTGTATACGTAATCACAGATCCATAACCCCCTGACACTGGCTGACAGGTCGGTTTATTTGGCCATGTATATATATATATATATAATATGTAATTATATATCTTCTATTACATGTCTTTGATTGCATATGTAGTCATAAAGTATATGCATAGCCGCATAGCCTGCAAAAATATGAGTGCCACAACGAATGAACTGGTCAAATTCAACTGGTCAAATCAGAGACATCAGCGCTCCGTTCTGCGAAGAGATCCTGCGACAGGACACATTCTTCCTGCGTTTGTTGTCGTAAGACCCCCAAGCCTTCCTTGGTCGTTGGTGGGTGGTGGCTGGTCATGCTGACAGAATTGACTTGAGCATAAATATCTGTATATAAGTTAAGTAGTGTGAGTAGTTCAAATGTAATACCTGGGAACGTGTATATGTATATATATATAATAAGAATTGGATTTTCGGAATTCCATGTATCTATATATATAATATACATTTCCGTGGGCATTCGATATTTCCCCGCAACATGCCCTGAAATCCTCACCTCATGTAGGAATTCCTCACCTAGGAAACCACATAGCTTTCAGTACTGAGAGATTGTCTTCAACAATCCCATTGTCCATATTGATGCACATTGCGCATCGACCTGTCTGTCTAGAAAATAGATACTCTACCAATCTACGGAGTGTGGCATTCAATTCCGGTCAATCGCTACGGCTACACAAACCAAAACAAACAGGATAGAGTGTTCGCCAATTTTTGATGATGGCTGCATCTCTCATTTTCGACACAGGAAATGCAGTGAATCAATTTGTACTGCGCAAGCAAGTAAATAAATACACCCTCTGGTTATCTAACATAGCCATGGAAGCCATGGCACATAGAAATAGATGGTTTACCCATTAAAAATTGTGATGTTCCATGGTTTTCCATGGTTTTCCATACCAGATGGTATACATGTACATATATATATATAATTATATGTATATACACATATAGTTAATATTTCACCATTTGGATCCATCCATGTGGTTTGCTCAACCGCTGGGCAGAATTGGGACCATTTGGCAAGGACCATTTAAGGGCTCACCCTACGGTAACCAAACGTAGCACTCGGAAAAGAAAAATATGTAGAAATCTGGGAACTATATAAAGAACTATAGAAATCTGGGAACTATAGAAATCTGGGAACTCGCCATTGCCAATATAAGGCAACTTGGGGGTCTCTCTCTCTCTCTCTCTCTCTCTCTCTCTCTCCATCGCCATCTCAGAGAGTTCAACAGAAGTGGCGAGCAAGTGGCCCATCTCAATCAGCCCTTGAAGATAATCCCACTTTTAAGCGTTTCATAGCCTGTACAGTATATAGCACTATTATATGCTATAATTGATTACAATCAAAAAAACAAAAATATAATCATATATACATATATACATAATTATATATATATATAATCCACTTATAATATAAGTCTATCGTGCGGTTGGGAAACTCTATGAAACTCTCATCCGCTCCCACCTGCCAAGCATCAGCACATTCAGAAGGTCCTTCTCCTGCGGAGGTCGCCATGGTGATTTCACCGAGAAAATGGGACAAAAAAGACATATGGGAAGATTAATTGTTTGGTTGGTGGTCGAAAAACCATCTTGAAAAATGATGGAGTTCGTCAATGGGAAGGATTAATTATCCCATATATGAAATGGAAAATAAAAAATGTTTGAAACCACCAGCCAGTTTTAGTGGACTGAAAGTGGGCTTTGCAATGATCAACAACAATACATGGGAATTCACCAGAAAAAATGGCGACTTGATTGCAACAAAAATAAGATTTGAGGACAACAAGTGAGAATTGATGCAACAACAAAATTGAATTTTGCAAATACCAAATTGGATCTAGTCATATCTAGTCAGCATCAAAATGTCTAGTAACCCAATTAAAAGAAACACAAATAACATGAAAGAACTTGAAATGTTCTTATACGAGATCATACGAGAAAACATAGGGAGCAGTTCCCACTTCTCTCCACTTGATTAGCCACCGCCCTCTTCCCAAAACCAGTTTCTGGGGATCCTAAAGTACTGCCAGTCTTCTGCCATAGCCATCCCGAGGGCGCCTTGATCTTTCCCGCTTCCAGGATGTCCCCGGCCATCTTTTCGGCGATCCTGGATGCCATGCTTGCCACGACATGGCCCCTAGCACGCTAGATTCCCACAACACCTGTTGCAACTGGGATTTTGGACGTTGGTTTTCATATCATATATGATTCAATGATCATATTTGTACATATCTACATCCTGAAGTCCTGAAGGGTATAGAACATATCCTGGTTCATATCAATATTTAAATTTGAAACGATGTTCTAAACGGAAATTCGGAATGGACCGATTCTATGGAAACCATCTGCTTCAGGATGGATGTGAAGTGAGTGCTTGGCAGCGGCAACGTTTGAGGGGGGTCCATCGGATCCAGTCACTGACCCCTTAGCAAAGCTTAGAGATCACACACACACTTGTATACATATATATATATATATACATATAGATAGACACATATAGTCGTCGTCATATATTAATATTAATCGAAGGAAGTTTAGAAGTGAAACTTCCGACAATATGGACAGTTGAAAAGCAGAGGTGAAAAGAGTCAGAAGAGAAAAGATCAGAAGAAAGAAGAGGTAGATGCGCGAAAAGATAGGAAAGTCGCGATTCACTGTGTTTTTCCAATGATTTGTGGCTCCGGAGGGTCGAAAAGTAGGCTCGCTAAAGCAGCGGGTGCGGAGCCAGCTGGCCAGATGAGACATGGAAAAGTGCACGCCGTTGTGGCGCGAAGCACATTTCCAAGTCAAAATGGACAAAACACTAGAGGAGCGGACCACTTTTGGAAGTTGAGATGTCGAAAAAGTGCACGCCGTTGTGGCACGAAGCACATTCTTCAAAATGTGCAAAACACACCAATGTCGGACCACTTTTGGAAGTTGCGATGTCGAAAAAGTGCACGCCGTTGTGGCGCGAAAAGCACATTTTGAAGTCAAAATGTGCAAAACACACCATGGTCGGACCACTTTTGGAAGTTGCGATGTCGAAAAAGTGCACGCCGTTGTGGCGCGAAGCACATTTTGAAGTCAAAATGTACAAAACACACCATGTTCGGACCACTTTTGGAGATTCAGATGTCGAAAAAGTGTCGAAAAAGTGCACACCGTTGTGGCGCGAAGCACATTTCGAAGTCAAAAGTGTAAAAAACTGAGGGTTTTGAGCCTTTTTTGACGTTAAGATGTCGAAAAAGTAGACACTGATTAAGTTAACTAACTTGACTAACTTAACTAACTTCACTAACTTAACTACCCTTACTTCGACGACAACAGCAACAGCAACAGCAACAACAACAACAACAACAACAACACCACCAACCACAACAACTACAACTACAACAACTACAACAACTACAACTAGAACTACAACTACACAACAACTACAACTACAACTAGAACTACAACAACAACAACAGCAACAACAACAACAACAGCAACAACAACAACAACAACTACAACAACAACTACAACTACACAACAACTACAACTAGAACTACAACTACAACAACTACAGCTACAACAACAACAACAACAACAACAACAACGACAAAAACAACAACAACAACTACAACAACAGCAACAACAACAACTACTACAACTACAACAACTACAACTACAACAACAACTGCTACAACTACACTACACAACAACTACAACCACACAACAACTACAGCTACAACTACAACAACAACAACTACAACTACAACAATTACAACTACAACTACAAAACAACTACAGCTACAACTATATGACTGCAACTACACTACACTAATTACATTACACCACAACTACAAGTCCACTACGCTACAACTACAACTACAGTTGCAGTACATCACACTACATCCAGCAGTTGTGGGTGAGGTGACCACTGCAACCATTGCAACCACTCCAGCAAACACAACTCCAACCACCTTTCGGTCAATCAGTGGATTCGCTCTGCCATCCGTGATTCACAACAACCAGCGTCTCCTATAGGTTTCCTATTCTGAAACTTCCGCCACCGCCTTGTGCGGTACTACTGGTATATCAACTGTACACACGGTAAGATGATACAGCAAACTGCAAACTCCACCATGAATTTCAGTGATTTCCATATGAACTCCGTCGGCCTCGCCCAGATCGGGCCTTCTCCTGGGGCCTGTGAAGTCATCGACCTTCTTCGCTTGGCTCAACGCCGGGGACCTCACCCACCTCGAGGTGCGCTGCAAAGCCAGGTGACATGGCCCCAGAGTTGGTTACATCATGTTACATCTACCCTGATTCTGTTGTGGCTATGTTACCTGTTGGGTTTATGATAGGATATATATATATATGAATATATTGTAGATATATCGAACACTATCGAACTAGAGTTAATGGGGGTTGTAAGCCGACAGTGATTTAGTTTGAGCTGGCAAATTGGCAATAGAAAACATCACCCATTTACAAATGATCCGATCCATGACTATTTCCCATTCAAAGCTGGAATTGTCCATTGTTAAAATACAAGAAGGTGTCCATGGATGGATTCCGACTATTCACCAAAGATTGGGAATGTAACCACTCAACCACTCAGACTCAGCATACTCAACATGGGAATTTTCATCACCAAACATGAGATTCAATGAATGGATTCAATAGCGAAAGGAAAAATGCAGAACAGTATTCCGGAAGCCGAGATGTGAACCCAGCCGTCTTCAAGTGGTGATACCATATGGGCTTAGAGCTGCTTACAAGCCCGTTCCCGACCAATTGCTAGCTGCACGGAAAAAATGTCACTTATATAATTATACTTGATTGACTTCAATGATTTTCGCAGGAAAGCATGATGGAAACACCAAACCCACCCGGGTCCTGCAGCACTTTCAACATTATGAACGAAGGGTGAGTCCATCTAGGGTCATCCCATATCTTAACTGGTTGGTGGCTGACCTACCCCCCTGAAAAATATGAAAGTCAGGTGAGATTATTATTCCCAAGATATGGAAAAAAACTATTGAAACCACCAACCAAAATGAATTAGAATTTGTGATAGATTACAATCCTCGATACATCAATATATTGGTTAGCATTACCCCAGAACAAATTAAATCACCGACCATCATAACTATATCACCATCTGCTTAATGATCAACTGATAAACTCCCCGTGGACCATGGTTTAACGGGGATGCTTCAATGATGGTTAAACTATGATACACAATGGATAAGTGATGGTTAAATCCCTGTAATGATGGTTAAATTACCACTATCTCCCCATACCCCGTCTGAATGACGGTCAAATCCCTGTAGTGATGGTTAAATCACCATTATATCACCATGAAACCCCTCCGAATGATGGTCAAATCCCTGTAATGATGGTTAAATCACCCCCAGTAAACCCCCTCCGAATAAGGGTCTCAAGACTTCACCAAGCTGCTGCGGCTTCCGCTGGGTCTCGGCCTTTCTCTTGCGGTTGAAGGCCTTTTCCAAGGGCACCGGCGAAAAAAGGGTGCGGTCCTTCAGTTTCGCCTCCTCAGCTCAAGCGCGAGTTGGAAGGAATATACTGGGAATAAAATGGAGAAAACACATATAATATAATTAATATAGTTATACATACATATCAATATGATTCACGGGCATATTTGGAGATGTTTGGAGGGGAAATGATATATAGGAAAAACATGATGTTTGTCTGCATGTTTGACAGCTCACATTGGGATACATTTGACATTGGGTTTATTGAAGAGAACATTGTGCTTGAAGTTATGAGCCCTAAGGTTCTGTTTTTGTACAACCTTCTCCGCCTTTCAAGGCAAGCACTTCAGACAATATGTTCATCCTCACCGTCATTGCCACATTGTCATCGTCATCGTCATCCTCATCATCATCATCATCATCATCGCCACATTGTCATCGTTAGCATCAGTTATCGCTTTAAATATGCATTCTGCATCTAAATGGCCAAAACAACACAAACTCAAAATTATTTCACCCACCATCCACCATTTCACCAGAATTGGTTCGTCTGAAAACACGCAACCCCATTCCCTTCCATGGTTCATCATCATTTTCCATTAGAATTGCCATAACCTGGAGGTTCAATGCCATGGTTCAATTCCATATATGCATATTTAAATTGTATAAATAATATGTATAAATAAATAGATACACACACATACATACATATATATATGTATATATATATATATACAATATAGTTAAATCATGTTAAATCCCAGACCCCTCATCCAAGAAGTTTCCAGGCGCACCCCCGGCAGGGCACAAGCTGGGCCTTTCGTTGTGGCGTCCCACTGCAGCGACTCTCCAGCTCCGCTTTCGAATACACCGCTCCCAAGTCCAGCGCCATGGAGAGATGCGGGTAGCCCAGCACCTGCGGTGCGAAGAAAGATGAATCCGGGGGGGTTCAATACGGTTCAATGGGGACATGAGAAAAGAATGGCGGTTTACGGTTGATATAAGCATCACCAAATGTGATACGCAAAATGGATCCAAATGGATTCATTTAAGGGAGCATTCTGCTTGGAGCAAGCTGTTTTTCTTCCTCAAATATAGGGAATATGTTCCACTAAACCAATTCTGGGAAGGCTTTCCCAGAAATGGATCCGATGTGCTATCCCTGCTATCCCAAGGATGGCCATGTCTAGTTTCAATGGAGGAAGAGAAGTTTGTATGTTAGAAGGATCCAGCATGGTGTTTCAACGGGTTAAGCATGCGGTTGAATTAAGAGATATATGGATACATATGGGAACATATCGTAGAAATTGGGAGAATGGCATTCCGAGATGGGTTTTGACGCATTGCATGTCCAAAACAAAACATGAAGGAAAGGAAACATGTATAACGTATCAAGGAGCAACAAAGGGTGCTTAAACAGCGACATGATGGGTTTATACGTGGTTGACATTTCACTCAGTTCGTGTTTATATAAAGGCAAATTCTTGCCAGGAAACCAAGGATGTCACCGGCCCCTATTGTTACGTCAAGTTTTGCCTCAAGCTTCTCTTGGAATCTTGAATGGTGCTGGATGCTTCCCGTCTGAATTATATGATGGCCATGATTCCGAGAAAATCCCTTGGATATCGACCATGCTGGAGCCACCCTGAGCCAGGACCTGAGCTATGGTCCACACTATTTAAAAGGTCCCTTTCGCCAAAGACCCAGCATTGAGAAAAGTCATTTTGTTCAACAGGTCCATAGCCATTTCTGCCAAAGAAAAGATGTATGCACATATGGTGTGTATATATATATATATATACATATCAATATATGATATAGACTATATATATATAAATATCACAATCATATCATCAGCGAAGCATTTTTTTGCCCCCAAATCAACCTTCCAGGGTCACTCAACCACAAAAAACTCATCCAATCAGCGACCAAAGGCGCCTTGTAGGCAGCCATGATTGCAATATCTACGCGAAAACGAAAAACTTGAGACTTCTTCCAGCCAGTGGTCCTGATGAGGTACAGGACCACTGATACTTCTCAGAGTTTCTCTTTTTAGAGATCATCATAGGATATCATTATAGATCATTATAGAAAATGAGAAGTCTGAAAATTATAGATCATTATTCTTAGATCATTAATTATAGATTTATGTCTGAATTTTGTTTGGTCTCGTTTCCATTTGTGATGCATGATTTCTTCGGAAATTGCCAGGGGGTTGGGAAAAGCTGCCATTCTCTGCTGTGCATCCCACATCGTTGTTCCCCTGATCCTTGAACACAGCAATCCGGGCAAAAATCAGCTTTTCAGCTCCGAGGCTCCATCTAAGATTTTGATTCCCCCCAACTTGGATGGTGAATCAATTGTTTCCCACCTTTTCCCTATTCACATAACCATAGATTGGGATAAATTGGGGCATAAGAATTTTCAAACGGAGCCATTTAAGAAGGTATCATATTGGGATATATTGGAAGGCATCATCATTTCCATGGATGGAGGGGGCTTCCGGCAGTGTTCCCTCCACCCATTTTGGGAAATATGTGAGTGAATGGGCCGTGGGTTAAATCAATCCACATCAAACCATTATTTGTTTACTGGATAAATTGCTGTATATAATTACAGCAATTCACCACTCCCAAAAAAGGCCATCTGGGGATCTTGCTAATCTTACAAGTGCCATTCACTTAACATACACTGACGTCGTGGTTAGGTCGTCACCCCGCTTCGGCTTCAATCGTTGAGCGTCTCAGGCTCCCGACTTGCGCCAAAGTTTGCTATTTTCATTTCGCCAGGCCTCAGCGGCTACTGGTTGGGGTACAAGTAACTATAAGTAACTGCTACCTGATGGGGATTTACCAGGATTTTCTAGCAACCCTCCCAAGGTGACGCCCCCAAACGATAGCTGAGATTAGCTGAGTTGTTGGTGCTCTTACCACTGGTTGTTGGTGCTTCCTCAGCCCTTATTCCCTCAAACATGGGACAAACCGCCCCATGGAACTGAATGATTTGGACCCAATGGTCTTTCGTGGGGGTTCAGAACAACCAAATTTTGGGGTTCTTTGGCATTGAAAACCCATCTCTATCCATACAACTATGAACCTAGGACCTAGTATATAGTATATAGATGTATATAGTGTTGCTGATTTCATGTGTGTTGCTTAAATGCATGGAAATGATTGGAAATGGTCTATCATTGAAAGTGATTCTGCGCATGGGAGCGGCCTGGGAGCGTTGCTGGTTTCAACCCCTCTTGTATGATATGTTTGACGCGGGTTGGTCATTCCAGGTAGCAATGAACAAGCAGTCTAATTACATATGAATTGACCGAAACACTTCATCTTACAGCCTTACACCCATTATCTTGTAAGCCACCACCTAAATGGATCCAAATATCGATACCTTATCCCCATCATGATCATCATCTTGGTTAAAACCCTATTGGTTAGCATCCAATCCCCCAATAATCTAGATTAATCTGGGTAAATAAAATCATTTTGGGATGATTCCTTTGAGATCGTTATAATCTTGTTGTTTTTCCACTATGAATCCTCCATTTCGACGCCCAACCTGCACCAGGGTGAAGTCTCTCGGCCTCAGGTTGGACGTTCTTTTTTCGGACCCATTGAAGTCGGAGAAGAATGGGAGCATTATGGGCAAAAATATCAATTCTACAATATATAAATAGGAAAAAAATATATATATATATATATATACATAATATATATATATATATATACATAATATATATATATATACACATAATATATATATATGGTATACACATACATAATATAAATTATGTAATATATAAAAATTGTATATATATATATATATATATACATGTATTATATGCTACTTGTAATACAGTACATACTTATGAATTACAGTACCCAAACAACAATGGGGATATGAATTTCATTGAGTCAGGTCTTAGATTGGAGCATCATGGAAAACGGGGGTCATTCAGAAATGAGGGGCGCATGAATGCTCCTGGCATATCAGCATTGCATATATCTTGTTTTTTTTGGGGGGAGTGATTGCTTTTCCTGGAAAAAAGCATGGAACATCATAAACGCCGCAAAAAAAGGCGGAATGACCACAACAAAATAATGTGTCACACGTACCCATGGCTGTCCTTTGACATGCAGAACCCCCCCCAAAAAAACATTGAATCATACCCTATATTGTTTTGTGGTATCAAAATGGACGAAAAATCATTATACAACATGCAACATATCAACGAACAGGTTGGCGCAAATGGATCCACTCCATATGGCTGAATCAGACTCATACCCTCTGGTACACTAACAGTTTGTGAACTGGAAAATCACAATCTTGGTAAATCCACGAACTGAATGGGCCATTTTTCCAGTTCGCAAACTGTTAGTTTATCAAGACCCTTAAATCATCCACTTTAACAGGATTCCCCATTATAAACTATCCATTTTAGGGTTTTTCCACTTTAGGACGCCACCAAAAACAGGCTGACATTGGCCAGTGAGGTCTACCAAACTCACCCAGCTTCATCGGTTCATTGGGCGACCAAACACCATCCAGCTCCCCGAGTGTCGTTGCCGATCTCGGGTGGTGACATCCTTGGTATCGTCATCTGTGGGAGTTCACCGACAAGGATGGGATATGTCGTGGGAAAATAATAATGGGAATGTAATGGCTATATTACCAACCAATGTGATTATATAACCAGATAATGTATATATATATATAGATGAATGGTATGGTCATCCATCCCATAGTGGGAATCCTTATGACGGAGATCAATGGATGTATAAATCCCATTAAATCCCTAGTGATGGACCGATGACCACCCGCCTAAAATGGGCCATGGTACATCTGGCTTGCTGAGATACATTCATCCATGAATGGATGGTGAAGTTGTTCAGAATCTGATTGTTGGTTTCTGAGAATTCAACCCATCCCAACGATATTATTGTTGTCAATTTGGATCATTATCCCAAAAAATTAGGGTTGAACATAATCAATGTTCAAGACTACCAACCAGAAGTATTTTTTGACATACATGGAAGGTATTAACAAAGCACACCACCGTATACCAACATTACCCACCATACCATCTATTAACCCCGATATAGATGGTATGTGCCCAGTGCGATCCCAAGCCAAAAACCCAAGTGACACTCCTGGCTGTTGCTACTGGCATACAAACATGACCAATGGTATAGAGACCCCGCAACAAAATGTTTCATTTGTCGGCTTTATCAGCTATAGTTCTAGTACATCAATAGTACATCTATGTAACTACATCTTCCCATTTACAGCAACAAAAATTAGACTACGAAGGTATCCAAGGTCAACCGAAAGCACCCCTCGATAGGCGGCCAACGGAGTAGGTGTCGGTGACCAGACTTTGCAGCCTGGGCGGCTAGGAATGTTACCAATTTTGGAGCACCCAGTGGAGCCCAAAGCAGGTGTTCTGCAAGGGCTGTTGTTGGGGAAAAGGTCTGAGAGAAAAAACACCGATTGTGCGGTCAATTTCAGCAGGCCACCCAAAATTGAATAGGATATAATAGAATCGCCAGGTTGCTACGTGCCAAAATGTCATGTCTTGGAACAAAGTAGTTGGATTCAGAAAAAAATTTCTGCCATAGGCTCCCTGGCCGTTTCAGCATGTCCTCGCCCATCTCTGGGCGTTCTGAAAACCTGAGAGCAGGGAAGGCTCCCTGGCCGAGCGGAGGCCTCGTTTTTGTAGCCAAGTTTACCCTCTGGGAATGTGACATAGCTATGAAAAATGGCACACTCAAGGGTTATTTGCATATTTTTGCAATGCTGATTTTCCATACTGATGTTAAATGTCCAGAGGTTAAGGCCTTTGTAAGAGCTATGTGGGAGAATGTGCCTCCCATAGGCCATAGACCGATTTTGTCCTGTACATGATGAAACATGCACGGCATTGCATGGCATTGCACGGCATTGCACGGCATTCTTGGACTATTTTTCGGATTGACTGCCCTTTCTTAGCACCGGGGCAGGTTCGAAAAACACGTGTGGATTCCGGTAGAAACATAAAGTTAAAGTTAAATAAATTTTATTTGGATACATGGATATACTTTTTACCGATCCATTAAATATACTTGATGTGTATAAATAATTAAAGTATATAGTAAAAAGTCAACACATATACACAGTTTGGCGCATGTTGCAGGACAATCCCCCAGCACCCCCAGTCCCATCCCATGCAACTGAGGCTTTCTGCTCCGCAGCATCAGAACCATCACCTGGCACCAAGGTCCAGGTCGTCGGGGAAAGGGAACATGCCAGTGAACATAGATGAACTGCTTGGTGGTGCAATAAGCATCTTGAAAAATGATGGAGTTCGTCAATGGGAAGGATTATCCCATATATTATGGAAAAATATGGAAAAATAAAATTCATGTTCCAAACCACCAACCAGTGAACATAGTGAAGAAGGACATGGCTAGCTGGGGGAAACAAAAACAACATATGGAAATTGATAGCTGGGAATATCATCTATACATGGTGGATGTTCCCTTGCCATGTTTGATGACACCGGAGGGTAAAATCTTGGCCTTCGCTCACAGCCCCCGGTAAGCACGAGCTGGCTTGGCCTGGGAGTAATGACATAGTGGAGTAAACCCAACAGAAATCAACCAGTTCCAATAGGTAAACTGTGGGATCACTAGTGAACCATGGGCTAAACATGGCTAAACCATAGTAACTATAGTTTCATAGTGAGGTTTTTACCCAATAGGTTTATGGCAATTTTATGGGATAACTGCGGGAGATCCCAGATTCGGGGAGGCAGCATGGAATCCATGGGGAGTTCATGATGGAAAAACCATGTGAATCAATAGGATCTAATATATAATGATACCAATAAACTCAATAAACATTCCCAGTTTGGGGTCTTATATGCATGGTGTGACAGGATTGCTGTGGGATAATTCTAGGATAATCAT